GCTTTTACCTGCTAGCTTTGAGGAGAGATCTAGTCTAATTAATCCAGGTCACAGAATATTTTTACTATTTTTTGTGAATTTTTAAAAAATTCCTGATTGGTACAATTATAAAATCTTCCTTACTCTATACTTTTCTCAATAACAATTCTAGTTTTATGTAATATAATCTAAATTTTATATTACATACTCTAACCTTTGCTGATATTCTTTCTTCCCAGTTGCTGCCAAATTAATCATCTACTGCTGCTGTAGTTCATGATTCTTTATGTTGTGTACAAGTTTTTAAAGTGTCCAATAACTAGGGGGTGTCCCATAACTAGGTCAAATACGTTATATTACAATTCAACAATTGCAGGAACCTGCTTGGTTGTCTAAATTCGCAGCAGGCTAAAGGTCTTTCCACTATCCTCGCCCCCAACCTCCAGCGCATACTCTATCTCCATCTCCAACACACCCTCCTTCTTGAACACATACACTCCCCCGAATATTATTTTTTTCTGTATTGAGGATAGAGTTCGTTACGGGGCCTCCGGGGCCCTGAAAGTAGCGGGCCCCTGCCCTGGTATCATACTTGGCCCGGGGCGGGGCTAGATTTATCCGCTCTCCCGTGCCCGCCTCATTACGAGCCCCCACCCCACCCACCCCCATGCATGCGGGGCCCCGCTCCTACTCTCGCCAAGTGATATGGGTGGGGGGACCTGAGGGAGGTTCTGAGAACCCCCGTAGGGGAAACAGGGCAGATAACCCGGTGGGGTAGGACCCCTATGCCCGCCCCGCCCCGTAACAAACACTGGTTGAGGAATCAACGCAAAATCGGACCTCCCAGGTTGTACGAGGTTGCTTGCTCTGAAGTTGTTTGACAACAGAAACAACCTCATATCCACCAAGATCAGCTCGAGGGGATAAAAACTGTACTTTTACTGTATTGATTTCAATCAAGTTTCCCTGCCCAAAGGCCTATATCCTTCTAACTTTGCTACTAGATTGTCTCAGGAATAATATGTTGTGATGTTGAGAGTGTTTCTGATACAGGGCAGGAACTCGCAGAAGAGGTGTTTGACCCATACCGTCCTGTTTGTGGAAAGTATTCAAATTAGGACGTATAGCAACCCAGAGAAGGTGTATGCAAATGGGTCTAGGTTTTTGCTCCTGAAGTCAATAAAACAAATAGAGTTCCAAATACAGATATTACAAATATGGGATGGGGAGAAGCAAGTAAGGATGGAAGCCCTTGAGGAGGTCACAGTTTTACGCCCATTAAAAGACTCTGCCATTGGAATTCAAAAGTACTTTTTTTGATGATGTTTCTCTGTGAGAAGGAGTTCGACGGAGTAGGAGGTCCGGTGGCAATTAAAACAGGTAAAGCTATTACCCTTCTAGTGATATTGTCACTGATGTCTATCTTCAAGTTCTCAAAAATAGGTTGATAGACTACCCAGGGGCTTTCACCATATCGTATAGTCTTGAGTGGTGCATGGCATCTGAACTTCTGTGTATATAGATTTATTTCCAGCCTTAATTGCTTACAATTTTTTCCCATAATAACTTCAGAATACTCATACATGGTTGAATTATTAAACTAGCAAGCAATAATCCTTTATAACAAGCAAGCTTGTACTTGGAAAAAAGAAGCTAATTTCAATTCTCTTACTAGTATTGTTTGAACTTGAAATGTTACTTCACCTCAACTTATAGAATTTTAAGTTCAAAATAACTCTATTGGGATAACCACTAGAAAAAAGTTTATTTTAAATATACTATGGAACTAACTACTCTAATAAGATTGAGTAATTTAAATAATATATCTCTAAATGCTATAGATAGTAGGTTTCTACTAATTAGCTATAAGGGGTATGAGTTTATTGACTTGTTGAGTTGTCTAGTTCAAGTTGCTTAATTGTTTGATTGTCTAACTATCTGGTTTTCTAATTATTTCATTGTCTTGTTGTCTGATTTTTTTTTCTTTTCTTATATTTTCTTCCTAATAGTATCTTTTATTTTAAGTATTGTGGAAGTACTTGGAAATAAATGTAAAAATTGAGTATGAAAAGAATAGTAGGACCTGAATTTCAAAAATCTCATAAATGAGGAATTAGAAAAAACAGGATGGAACTATGATACTACTAAGGTTTAAGTTAAAATCCAGAGCAGTTACTAGTATATTCAAGTGATCTATCAATACATTTGTAGAAAAATTCAGCTCAGCACATTTTCAATCTTTTTTCCCCCCCATACTAAGTTATACTTCTTTTTTGTTCACTCATCTAATATTTATAATACAATTGATGATGCTTCTGTAATAATTTTTCAATAAAGACCTACAACTCCAATACCACTCCAAGTTCCTACCCCCTAAAGCCATACTGCTAAGAGAGTTCCTAGCCCTCCAACCTATTTTCATCAGACTCTAGATAAAATGAGAATAAAAGGTCTTATCCTAGGAAAATTATATAAGAGCAATGTTACTATTATAAACTAACCCATTATGCGAACCAGTCAGGTGACTTCATAAGGATTTTCTATATTAAAGGAGTTTTGTATATAATGTAAAACAGTGGTCAGAAATATTGTAACTTCCAGATAAATAATAAAAAATAACTAATGAGTCTAATTACCTTATGGTAAAAATGAGATTGTTAAGGAAATATGAGTACCTAGAAATCAATGCAATACTAGACTTAGAGGCAAACATTATAATGGATTTCATTGACAGAGAATTCCGTGAATTTCATAGTTTAATTCTGACAAAAATCAGTAGACCATGAGACATCTACATAATCAATTGGAAAAAAAGTAAAGCTGGACCTATTACTCTGATGTAATTTAAACCTACCTTAGTGCAGACTCAATTTTTAAAGACAATCAAATACTCTACATTCCTGAGTATTTAAATCCTCCAATCGATACAGTATAAATATTTTCTTCCTGATAAGCATAAGACTGTGTAGTATACACGGGTGAATAATTGTATTATCATACTACAACCCTTAGTAAAACACAGCAAGGAAATAACCGTGCGTCAGGTCTTTGCTTGGAAAAAAAAAAAGCAGACCCAAAAAAGGAGCGAAAAACAGACCCATCGCAGCCATCGCAGGGGAAGAGCCATGGCAACCAAATACACGCACAAAATCCAAGATCACCACTAGGCACTCGCTCACTCACTCACTCATACTTGGGTATCAAAAAAAATGAAAGAAAAAAGCTTAACCCCCCCCTTCCTCAGCCATCTGCTGCAAAATATCCACAGTGGTATCTCTCTTGGCCTTCTCGGAACGTATCATTCCATAAGCCGAGTGCACGATTACCGTCTCGGGCAGGATCTCACTCTTCTCGTCGGTATAGAAATGCAGGTACCCCCTCAAGCTGCTGCACACGCCATACTTTTTCTGATAGGAGGCGATGAGCCTCTTGTCCTCTAAACGGACGAGCTGATATCTTGATCAGCATCATCGCAAACAATCTCCCGGACTACCGCAGGGGGGGGATATACTATACCTTAAGGCTATAGGCGAACCCCTTGAGGCCAATCCCCTTCACTAGCCGACTAGAATGCAACTTCGTCCCGGTCCATCGATACTTCACACCGGCAACCTCAAACTCATACTTTCTATGCCCCGTGTGAACCATGACCACGGTCTCCTTCTCCCCCCCGGCCTCCCCGATACCCTGCAGAGCGCTCTCGTCCTCGGCCGTCCACGCCAGAGGCTTGGGCCGCATGCAGAAGACCTTGCGCAATTTGTTGCACCGCTGCAGGCTCTTCACCTTGATGGCCTTCTCGTCCGTCTTCACCTCGCGCTGGATGGAACCGCCCATCTCCAGCTGTATCTTCTTCCAGCACATCGAGCGCGTTATCCGCCCCACGATCGGGGACTCGGCCAGTGTGTGCTTCTTCGGATTCGGCCCCGAGTGGACTATCGCCCGCCAACCCTTGTGGTGGAAATCCATTTTGTATCCTGGCGGGTCGAGGATGAAGTAGCGCTCTATCGGGTCCGTCTGGTCGGGCGTTGTGAATCGGTACACCATGCGCTTTTGCGGCTTCAGGTGTCCGTGCACCTTGTAGGTTTTCGTGGGCTCCATTTGCTTGCTGGTTTGGATGTTCAGATGGGGGGGGGGGGGGGCGTCTCTGAGTACTGGCGATACAATTTTTTTGTTCGTGTCGCCGTTGATGAAAGTGAAAATGACTTATCTCATAATATGGAGAAGACCTGGGACCCGCGATAGCTTATATCCCCACCATGAGCTCCACTGGAGGCCCTTGAAGCTACCGGCGTACGGTGTCATATCCAAAATGTTATATACGATACTCGACCGCCGGCAGGAATAAACCATCGGGTGATCCCACCCACCACACCATACCGTACCATACCGGTACCTACCGGGATGCACGACAGTCTGTCTGTCTGTCGGTCGCCCAGTCAGCCTCGCGACGCATCAATCGACCGACAAACCCCCCCTCCCAATTCACCATGCGTACCACCACCAACCAACCAACCAAATCACCCTCATCAGTCCTGGAAATACGAGGTCCCCTCCCCTCCCCTTCCCCGCATCGCCACACAGTGCTGCACGCGAGGCTCTGCCGCTCAATCAACAAGCGGGAGCAAACCCGCTACACTGAAACAAGCCTGTGTCACCCCAGCCCCCATCCAATTGTGGTAGTGACGAGTGAGATTATGTGAGTCTTGGCGGATTTTTGTTGGTTGGGGGAGGGGTACCGGTAGTGGGAGTTTTTTTAACAGACAAGTACAGTACTGGACTGCTCTGCTCTGCACTCTTGGGGCTGAGGGTGCGAATGGGGTTGGATGTTGGGGTACGGTAAGTTACGTGATGTGATGTGATGTCAGTGGGTGGAAGCGGGGATTCGACCGACCAGGGTTGTTACCGGTATGATGCTGTACTCGTAAGTTATGATACGTGATGTGCTGGTCCGATCTTTATCCTGCTAGCATCGTCCCGTGTCCTGTGCGTATCGATATTTTGAATTATGTGCTTTTTTGCTTTTTTTTCTCATTCTTTTTTTTCTTCTTTCTTCTTCCGGGGGTGGGAGCTCCACTCCCCCGCGGGGATAATACGGTACCGGTACCGGGCTCGTATGTTTCACTGCGGGTCTGACTGAAGATGGCTGTTTCGGAGAGGGTGGTGTAGTGTAAAAGTGCCATAGTAGTTGCAGTGCCTTCTGGGATGTTGAATAACTCGATAGTGGTATTCATCCCATGATCTATCACTTTATCATACTCGAGCACACGAGAGCGTACGTCAGAGGGATTAGGAAGATCTCCGGTAATGTCCGAGAATAGGGTTGGTGTTTTGGGGTGTTTTATCCTGCGACGACCTGAACTTGAGCCCTTGTGATTGTATGATACTGTGTGATGTTCCTTATCACGCTTGGGGTTGGTTTCTGGCCGGTAGTATAATATGATAATTATGATAGTATTCTATAATACCCAACTTAACCGCGCTTTGTAGGGCGTTTTTGGTGCTTGGCGTGCGCATCGGCATACTTGTATCGTAAGCGGAATACCGGTATCGGATTAAGTGGTAGGTAGGAGGGGAAAGAGCCGAGCGCTTCCAAAAAGATTCGGTGGGAGCAAACATTGGGTCTGAAAACGAAACGCCGAAATATTTATCAAGATATGATAGAAGTGGTGGATTAATTCTGGACAATCGAGAAGAGTGCCGTACAAGTAGAATATCCTTGCTCTTTTTTTCTTTTTCTTTTTTTGGTAGGCTTTGCCACCCCCGTGAATGCATAAATCACAAAGTGTTCGGGCTGTCTATTGCTTAAAAAGTTACACGGCTCGGGCCAGAATTATTTTACTACTTTACTCCTAGGGGAGTTGCCTTATAACTACCGTACGATACCAGTGGAATTGTGTGGGGAGGTATTATATCATACTCAATCTACGTGTGAGTATATGTGATAAGGAGGGACTGGGAGAACACTGTGGGAGCTAACGCTTTACTTGCACGTTATATTATAGGTCTATTAATACCGTCGGAAAACCGCGCGGATGAACATCTACAAGCACGATACCCCCCTGTGAGGCTTAACTTATAATAATAATAATACCTTACGATAGAGCGATAAATCAGGTAACAACCGTCACCATGATAATTTGGAGGTCTTAATGTTTCATTTTGCTGGCTGTCTTTTCCCACCCACGCACCGGTTTTATTCGTATCGTATGGGGGGGATTCTCCACATATCAAATCTTCTCTTAGGCTTTCAAGCTATCAAGCAATATATGTGAAAAACTCCAGGGCTGCCGTCCAAAGCATGGGCCAGAATAATTCAAGCGTTTCACAGGCTCCTTTTTTTTTTCACAAAAAAAAGTTAAATTTGGGTTTTCAATCACTTCACCGCTGACCCCAAGGCGGACAAGGTGGATTTCGGATGGCGGGTAATCGTCGGCAACATTTAGGCAAGGTGCTGACACCTCTCCCTTTGTGCTCCCTCGAGGGCGTGTTTTAGCGGCCACCTTGAGGTTGAAGTTATTGGAATCGACCCCCCTCGCAGATATGCCATAGGAATTCTTGGCATCCTATGGTACAGACCCCAGAGGTTCAAGGGCCTTTGGGTCGCTAGTTCTGACGGGCATCCCTGGAGAACTGTACTAAAGATATTAATTAAGCCTCCGCCTCCGCAGGGCGCAGCTTTCTGTGCTGGGATGACATGGGAAAACTTAGGAGAATACTTCGTAGGTTGATCTGAAAAAGCCATATTGAATAGTATTGGCGCTTGCCCACGGGATTCGGTCTTTGTTTGCAGATCTTTATGGGAGATCTGATAGGTGATCCCTTGTCTGGGGTATCCATTTGGTTTTGACAATACCGGCAGTACAGTACTGAAATTCGTGCAACGAAAGATCCTATCATAGTCCGATATGTGCCTTCGAGATTTTTTGTGGCCCTAGAGGTTATCCGCGTCAAAGGATTCCCCCACCCCTCCCTTTTAGGCATGGATTGAGGCACGAGGCCTGGGCTTGGGCACGGTATTCGACCAGTAGGGATCGAAATGGGGGCGGTACAAGTACAACAGTGCGGAGGCTAAGCGTCCCTCATTGTTCAAGCGATCTATTCGATATCAGTACCTTGATGATTGCGAAGGCGGAGCATTGGGGCCCTGTCGCGCTCCGTAACCGGGAGCTTCTCGCAGGGAAGAAGCATGTCGGCATTCGTATAACTGCCTATATTAACTCCCCAGAGTCCATTGCAAGGCTTCCCAGACTCGGGAAAGGCATAACCAATAGGGGATTTCCCCATCGCCCCTGATGCGACGCCAGGACATAGTACTTTTCCTGTTGCCCCTCTCATTGACTTGGAACGATTACTAAGGCAGTCTTGGCAGCACTCAGATGCCAAAGTTCCACCACCATGGCTGAAGAGCCAACCTGAGCAACTCGGCATCAACCAAACTACCTCCATCTTCAACACGCCAAATTCATCCATCCCTCACCTCTCACCCTACACTCCCCAGATAACGAGATCAGGAATCCTTCGCCATGGGCCGATTAGAGGAAGCTCAAGAAATCCAGAAGCGGGATCCTGCAATGGCAGAGGCCATGTATAAGGAGATGATTTCGAAGCCGCCAGGGATGAACGATGCTGAGCTGAGGGATTACGAACTGGCGTTGGTTGCATTGGGTGGAATCTATAGGGATGCTAGGTTAGTTTGGAGATACTGATGGCGGGGGTTGCATGGGGAGGGAGATGGATCCGTCGTGTTTGAATTTCAACCTGATTGAGGATTGCTAATCGCTTGAAGACGAACGGGGGAGCTTGCAGAGTTGATTAAGGCCAGCCGATCTATAATGTCTTCATTTGCGAAAGCGAAGACTGCAAAGATTGGTGGGGACGCCCTTATCCCCCGCCTCTATCCTTGTGCCTTAGCTAATAGCTACTTCCTCCAGTCCGCCAGCTAATCGACCTCTTTACCACTATTCCTGATACCCTCGACATCCAAATATCCGTTACGAAATCTTGCATCGAATGGGCCATCCAAGAGAGACGTTCTTTCCTTCGTCAAAACCTCGAAACCCGTCTAGTAGGACTCTACCTACAAAAACACTCATACACCGAAGCCCTCTCGCTCATCAACTCCCTGCTCAAGGAACTGAAACGCCTCGACGACAAAATGGTTTTGGTAGAAGTCCAGCTCCTGGAGTCACGAGCCTACCACGCTCTCCGAAACATCCCTAAATCTCGCGCTTCCTTGACCTCCGCGCGCACCTCCGCAAACGCCGTTTACTGCCCTCCACTCATGCAGGCCGGTTTGGATATGCAATCTGGGATCCTCCATGCCGAGGACAAGGACTACAACACTGCCTTCTCATACTTTATCGAAGCGCTGGACGGGTACTCCACCCAGGACGAGACGAAGAAGGCCATTGCAGCGCTAAAATACATGCTTCTTTCGAAGATCATGTTGAACCTCACTGATGACGTCCATCAGATAATGACCGGCAAGCTCGCCATCAAGTACGCCGGTCGTGACATCGAGGCTATGAAGGCGGTAGCAAGAGCTCATTCGAACCGCTCCCTGGCCGAGTTCGAAAAGGCTCTTGAAGTCTTCAAGGAGGAGCTGGGGTCAGACCCATTCATAAGATCTCACTTCACAGCGTTATATGATACCCTTCTGGAACAGAACTTGGTCAGGGTCATCGAGCCCTTCTCGCGCGTGGAGATCGAGCACGTTGCCAAGCTGGTCGGCCTCGGGACTCCGCATGTGGAAGCCAAGTTGAGTCAGATGATCTTGGATAAGGTCTTCTCCGGGGTGTTGGACCAGGGGAGTGGCTGCTTAATTGTGTTCGACGAGGTTGGGAGGGACAAGAGCTATGATGCTGCATTGGAGACTATTAAGAAGCTGTCGGATGTAGTTGAGGTGCTCTATACCAACCAGGCTTCTATGCTGGACTAAGTTTGTCGATTAGACGAATAGACACTCTGCCGGTTGGTGATGATCGGGGAAGTAATTACTTTGACTTTTTTGTCCTACATACAATTGTGCTCCCAAATGTAAAATTAATTTGTTGATGAGAGCTATTTTATTCTTCTAGCCATTTAGCTATTTGAGCCCAAGTTCGGTGCAGGACATTGGAAACCCGAAGAGATCCAGTCACCCCCCAGAGAAATGGTACCTACTCCATAACAAGATTGGTAGCGAAGCGGTGGTATCACAAGCTCTACCAAGTCCTGTTCCCCTCCTGATCCAATGCCTTCCGCCCCCTGAACCCCGCCATTGCCCTATCCACACCGCTAGCCCACCTCAGGAGCTTCTGAATACTAACTGGCAAAACCTCCATGACCCCGATCCACCTCGAGTATACGGGCATGGAAATATGTCCACCCAATCCTCCATCAATTGCGGCGATAATCTCCTTGGCAACGTCAACGGGCTCTAACACCGGTGCGAGGAAGTTATTGGGAGTCTTAATGCCGTAAAATAGGGGGGTCGAGAGTTGCCCGGGAGTGACGAGGAGCGTCTTGACTCCCGGTTGGCCGGCGAGTTCGGCGGTGAGGGAGGAGTGGAGAGATTTTAGGGCTGCCTTAGAAGCGGCGTAATCCGAGAGTTGGGCTGGGGCGATTGAAGAGAGGACCGATGAGATTGTGATAATTGAGCCGCGATTTAGCTTTAGCATGCCTGGGAGGAATTGCTTGATTGTGTAGAATGATGAGAAAAGGTTCGTTTTGAAGTTCCTGGACGTTGGTAACGCATTAGTTATCTATCGAACACCACCGCTGTCCGATAGCGAGCTTTAGAACGGGGAAAGCTGGAGGGGGAATATACGTCTCGATCTCTTCCGCCGAAAGATCCAAAATCTTCTTTCCATTGACAATCGCAGCATTATTGATCAGTACCGTCGGTGTTCCCAAGTCCCTCTCAATATCCTTAGCAACAGCCTCAACCTGCTTCCTGTCGCCAACGTCACACTTATAAAACTCTACATTCCGCGCTTCGCCACCCTCCGGCTCTCTCACGTCGAGCACCGCAACCGTAACGCCCCTCATACCGTATACCTCCGCAATCAAGAGTCCTAGACCACTGGCACCGCCGGTGATGACTACCACTTCCTCCATCCAGTCAAATTCGCGTTTCGCGCCATAGGCTAGACGGCGGTTGACCTGCTTTGCTATCCACAGGACCGTTACAAAGGCAGCGTAGGCGATAGACAGGTAGAGTGGTGGATGGTGGTATTGGAAAGTTTGAGCACGGTAGGTTAGAGGGATTAACCAGGTGAAAATGGGGTTGAGGAAGGTATGGTTGAGAATTGCGAGGATGAGGTCGACTGTCTATTGTTAGCCGCATGGCCTTTCCCAGTAAGTGCAAGGGATGACAACTAGAGGAGAGGAATTACTGGTTAGGTGGTCCAGAAGCGGTTTGTCGCTTTGGAAAGAACTTAAGCTTGGTAGATCCGACATCTTAATGTGGAGTACGTATGCTATTAGGGATTATCGAATAAAAGTATGCCGATACGACTGTATGCTGGAAGGAGGGGAAGAAGGGCGATTACACTGTGGACACCGGGTCTACAAGTTGGTGGGGAAAGGTGATTAAAAGAGGGCGAGAGAGAGGCAGAGAGGGCGATGTCGAGAGGAAGAGACAAGAAAGGAGAGGATGGGATGATTGAGTAATAGGATATTGAAAGTCCTGCTCGGGGAGAATGGAAAGGTTTCGGGTCTGGCGTGTGTAGGCTTACGGTACCGTAGGCGATCCCTTCTCAGCCCCGGCGCTTACAGGTTCCAGTCTCACTTCTGACATTGTTGGAGTCTCAGGTGTCCAATTGGGGGTATTAAGTCAGTGCTCGCCTAGCGATGGGCTTCGGAGCTAGGCTTCGATGGCACAGTATCCTCTACAATGGGCCTGGCGCGGTCTGGGGAGCCCTTTGGCAGCAGTCTCAGCAGAGTACCCAAGTGCCGGTACAGCAGTACCAGTACCTATTCCGTGCCCCATACCGCTCCGATTTTTTGCGCATTATTGCGAAACATCCACTGTTCCCATATTTCGGTGCGGCATTGATCGCTATGGTATTGTACCGTATTAAAATCCGAGAAGGAATGAATTTGGTGAAACTGTAGGCCATTCTAGAGAGTCGGGACTTTTTCATGCGTCATCTAACGGAAAGCCTGTGGGCCGCGCTATAGAGGAAACATGTCCCTTAGTGGCCATTTATCCCCGGGTATAAGAGTATCCGGCCATAGGCGTTCTCAATTGGTGTATAATTTATTTATTTTTTACCAACATGAACCTATCACCAAGAGCAAGAAGGAAAAGAGCAAAGAAATCGCTTAAAACCGTAGAGCTGTGCAACAGGGAGTTAGTAAGCGTTCGGTGCGCTGAAACCTGTTTCAACCGGGATGGCTTACGGGTGAAGAACCACTTGTTCTTGCCAGCCTGGTGCCTTTCCTCAAATGCCTTTTTAATGGTCTTCTTAGCCTCCTCTCTCTGCGAAGGCTCCTTAAAGGTATCTTGAGAAATGACCCCCCTCAGGGTCTCGAGATCGATGGTGTAACGAGTAGGCATAAGGTGATTGTAGTTGACAATCTTGATGAAGGGTTTGACCTTGGAACGCTTGGCCGTTCTCTTCTTTGACATCGAGCGGGTGACCTTGGACGGATATCTCTCCATTCCGGCAACGAGAGCATGACCGAAGGGATGGGACTTGCTGCCATCGTCCATCACTGTAGTTCTCCACGAGTTAGAAGCTTGCTTGGTTGCATGGAGAGAACCGCATGGACTAACCCTTGACAATGACAACCTGAATCTCTTGTTAGTATTGAGACAACCTTAGAAATTAAGATATCGTGATTTTCGCACCTTCTTACCGGCGTATCTACCGCGGGTGATGATAGCAACTCTACCGTTTTTAAGGACTAGAGAATACCAAAACATTAGCTTTGCTGGACGGGTATATCTCGAGCTAGCCGGATAATCCACAAGATCCCGAGCACGCCCCTCTATTCCTCCTAATCCACAGTTTTTCGAGAATTATCCTCCCCCTGAAAGCGGCAAGCATCTCCTCCAGTACCTAACCACTATCCGGCGAGCAACTCGGCCTCTCAAGGCATCCGGGGCGGAAAAAATAACAGCGGGAGGATTTCACGTACACTTCATTTCGTATGACCACCGAGGCGAAAGGATCGGAAAAAGAGGGTCTATCGTGAGGTGTTGTGGATTGCTGTCGTGGTTGTCGTAGTTTGGCGATGGATGCGTCTTCCATACACCGAAATTCAACGGGCGGGATTTGTGGGGAGTTAATTTAGGGAAGGGCAGTCACACCGGCTACCAACCTTTTTTTTTTCGCCTCCGATGTGGAGGGGGTATTAATCTACGCCACTATCCCCCCTTTCGGCCACGAGTGGTTTCCTCACAAGCCACACGTAATGAACTTTGAGTTGTCGTTTCCATAGCAACGATCTAATCCAGGGGTGCGGTGTTCAGTGTTTATCCTCCATTCAAGAGCTGAGTTTACGTGTGTTGGTTGACTCTCTCGCCCTATGCACACGTTTGTTGTGCTGCAGGTCATCAAGCCAGGATCGATTCTGCGTCGGAGCAAACATAACCTCCCCTGCTCCCCTCGATCTCAATTTCTTCCTCTCTTTTCGTTCCCCCATCTCCCCTCATCACTATCACAACTCTTGCTTTTTGATAATATACCCCTCCTCTTGGTCTCCAAACACTTGTTTTCCTTCTCAAAGGGAGAGTGCTTTCACCGTGAGCTTCAATTCTATTCAGCCCCGTTCCACGCTTAACCCCTTACCTCATCCCGCTAACTGACGTGGTACCGATACTCTACAATTAGGTGGAATAAACAAAACAACGTAAAACAAATATGCCGCCTGCAGCACCTGCTGCCCCCAAAACTCCCTCCTCATCCACTTCATCCGCCTCCAACTCTCAGGCTCTTACCCACATCCCGCCAATGTTAGTGTTTACTCTCTTCTAAATTCCTTGCGTCTACCATTTCTCTTGAATAAGCCTTTCTGTCCTCATAATCCTAATGCATTATGGAAATAGGTGGGACTCATCGGATCCCGCCAGGCACCCCCCTCCTCTCCCTCTAAACCCCGGAGCTCCAAACTCGCCTCGCACAGTTGGGACGATACAGAATCCGTTCATTGTGGCAGATAGGGCATCGCCAACGCCAATCTCAAGAGAGATATCGCCAACTCGCAGAGCTCCTCAAGCCCCACCCCATCGAGAAGGATCACCCTCGGGGCCAAATATATCGCCAACCAGAGCACAGCAGGTAATGGCTTCTCACAGGCGGATGAATTCGATGCAACCATCTCCAACAGTTCGTGAGATGGGTAACCTCATCTTGAGTGGAGGATCGGGTTCTCCCAGCAAAAGCGGGACACCTACACCCAAGGAATTGTTTGGGAGTAGCACTAGTTTCCCAGCCAGGGAACAAGCACCTACGCCCGCACCTCCGCCTGGCTATCGTAACTCTCTGGACCTTGATCGTTTGCCGAATCTCCTTCCACCGCTACGTAACCTCAAATCTCACGAATCAATGTCAGCCACGATTCCTTCTAGCACACTTGCTACCACCAAAGACTTCAAAGATTTTAAGGAATTTAAGGATCTTAAGGACCTCAAAGATTTCAAGGACTATAGCCTTCCTCCACTTCCTCGTGATCGAGATGGAGGACAAAGTGAGTGGGAATCACGGAACCGGGATAAGGAAAGGGAAAGGGATGATGGGCCCAAATTGTCGCTTCAGGAACTTGAGACGATTACATCCCAGCTCTCCGGGCTTACGTCGATAGCCAATAGTCTCCAAAGGGAGATGGCAAATCTTTCTCGCCGATCTAAAGACAATGCCACCGATCTCATCTCGCTCAAAGAGGCGACCAAAAGTAGAGATGAAGATATCCGTCAATCCCTTCGGGACCTCGTCCATGGCCTTCACAGTCTGGAAAGCGATAGGTTGCTCACTAACTCCTCGCTTCCGCTTATCACTTCCGGTGCTTCTACGAGTAGTCGATCTTCGAGCTATGCAAGCGATAACTTTGCAGCTTCACCTGGAACCAGAGGTGAGAAATCTGGTCTCGAAATGGCAGCTCTTGAGCGGGTTTTGAGAGAAATGTCCACGAAAGACGAACAGGACCGCGTGATCGATCTCTTGAGAGATATCCAGGATACCCTCAATAAGCCCCAGTTAGATAGGCTTGAAAACGAAGAAAAGATAATATCCTTGCTAGAGGAATTCAAGGAACGAGACTATAGCAAAGGGAAAGAGCTTGCGATTCCTGGGAGGGAGAGAGACGGTGATATGGACGAAAAGATATTGTCTATGCTCCAGAATATCCGAGAGACCCTATACCAGAGGGAAGAGAAAGAAAGTGGTGTAAAGATCATCGGCTTACTTGAGGAGTTAAAGCAGAAGGGGGAGGAAGGTGAAAATGCGCAGGTCATTTCCCTTCTGGAGGAACTTCGAGGCAAGAAGGGAGGCTCTGGAATCGATGCCGTTTTGGCCTCCCTTGAGGAACTCAAAGCTAAGGGGGGAGACGAAGGGGTTCTCTCTTTGCTCGAGGGGATTAAAGCTAGGATGGATAGCATGAAGGAAGATCTAACAAAATCCCTCAGCTTATCTTTAACTAGGCGCTCACCTTCATCACAAGATGCTACAGGAACGGGATCTGCACCCGACTTAGTGGAGAGCGATGAGATCCTCAATGTTTTGAAGCATATTAAGCAGGGCGTGGATTCGGGCGAGGAGACAACTCGAGACATTCAGAGACTCATTGACGAATGGAAAGAGCGGTGGGCTGGTCATGATAGGGAGGCACATGAAGCATTAAAGGACCTGATGAAGGAGGTCGAAATTCTGGTTACGGAACAGAGACAAGCAATATCCAGGCTACACAGCAACCCAGGTCTGCAATCTACAGCACTCACCATGACCAACCCTCCTCTCCCACCTGACTTGGACAATGAGGCCGCTATCACCGCTCTCGCTAACATTGCGTCAACTACAACTCGTACAGATATCACCCTTTCCACCATCAACGCCTTAATCAAGGTTTTCCATAAAGACATGAACAGCGCCAATACTCATACCCACGAGACCGTGCTCAACATCAGCAGATTCCTCCAAGAACTCGGCAACACTGTTTCGAATGCTCATTCCCAAACAGGAGAAACTCGCAAGCTCCTCGAAGTGGTGCGTTCTGGAGTCAGTAGCGGGAATGACCGACTGGCCGAGTTTGAGGGTGCAGCTCTCCGGAAAATCGAAGAGCTTATGTTCCTTCACAAACATTTGCAGAAGACAATGCTTACCAATGGGGATGAGATGATCTGGAAGCAAGATGTCGGTGTCAGAGCTGTGGTAGAAGAATTCCAGAGCGAGGTTGAGGAACTGTTGGAGAAGAATATGGAAGCCGTTAAGGAATCTGCAGAGAAAGCTGTTGAGGCCATAAACAATTCTAATCCCGTTTCTCTCATAGGGGAACTAAAGAATGAGCTTGGAGCAATGGCACAGAGAAGTTTGGCCGCTTTTGCAGCCGCGGATTCTAAGGAAGCACTTGCAGAACTCAAATCTGAACTCCAACGGGCTACGGAGCAGAGCGTTGAGGCTATCAACACTCTGAATCCAGGAACTTCGATCGAGGAATTCCGGGCCGAAGTCAAAGAAATACTTGAGAAAATCCTGTCAACAAGTGAATCTAGCTCAAATGGGCTTACCAAGCTCGAAGAGTCTACCCCAACCCAAGCAGTCATTGGAGATCTAAAACGCGGCCTTGAAGAGCTAATCGAGCGATCCTTTAATACTTCTAATGAGCAGACGGGTGCAGCCATTGCAAACATGAAATCCGTCATCGCCGATAAAACTGAAAGCACCGAGAAAATCCAAACCTCGATCGACCAACTCAAAGCCGTGGTTACCGAGTTGATGGAGAAGTCAGTGACCGCGCTGGCGCCCCCCACATCATATCCTGAGGCAGAATCTATTAAGGCTCGAATTGAGTCGCTAGCTCTCGAGATTACCAAGACCATGGATAACACTATCGCTCTATTCAGTGATTCCTCTGTTGAAACAGACGAGAAATTGAAAAAAGCGGTCGATGAACTTAAGGCCGAACTAGGAGAAATGAGCAAGTCAATACCGGAAGCCGTTTCCTCCAACTCAGCGTCCGGCCTTGAGGGGGTGGTGAAGGAAGCTCTAGATGAGATGAAAGAGGTGGTTGGGCGAATTGAAAAGCGTGCGGAGGTTGAAAGGCCGATGATTCCCAACCCAGATGCATCCGAAAAAATGACGAGTGCCCTTGAAGATCTCAAGAAGGAAGTTCATGAGATGGTTGAGAAGAGTATCAATATGGCTGTCGGCACTCCCCAAACTGGAGAACCTGCCGGCAAAGTTCAGGAGGCGATTGAGGGCCTCCGGGCAGACATCACAAGCGTCATGGAAAAGTCATTGGTCGCAGCTTCAGGCTCAGACAATTTCGGGGAGCTATTAGAGGACCTTCGGAAGGAAATTGCTGAAATGTTAGAAAAATCCGCGTCTATGATTGTTCCCCATTCCAACTCCGACGAGGCGACAAGAGAGCTTCTCGGGGAGATTAAAAAAGACGTTGCCAGCATTCTAGCTAAATCGCCGCCGTCCGAGTCAAGCTCTGATGATGTAGAGGAGGCCATTGGAGGGCTCCGAAAGGAAGTAGGTGAGTTAATGGACAAAACAATGTCTATGATAGCCCCTAGGGCCACCGACACCGAAGGACCCCCACCCCGTTCCGCCGAAAGAATAGAGGGAGTACTTAAAGATCTCAAGTCAGAGATTGGTGAGATGGTCCAACAAAGCTTGGCAGCTGCCATTGCAAATTCGACCTTCGATTCCGAAGAGAGTGTGAAGGAAGTAATTGAGGAATTGAAACGCGACATCCGTGACACACTTCAATTGTCGATGATGCCTCTTCCTGCCGAAAACACTGAAGCAGCAGAACGAATTCGGACTGTGCTACAGGGGTTCAAAACCGAGCTTGGGGAGCTTTTTGAAACCAAGATTGCGGTGCCCAATGTTACTATCATGGAAGTCATCGATAGTTTGAGGGTTCAAGTTGGAGTATTGGCAGAAAACCCCAAGGATGGCGCAGTAGCCGAAATCATGGAGGAACTGAAGATGCTAGTTGAGGGATTGGGGCAGGGAGGGTCTGGCGGTGGTGTGGTGGAGTCAATTGGGGATTTGAGGAAAGGGATGGGTCTTTTAGCGGAGAAGTTGGATGCCTCTTCCCCGGCAGAAGTTACAAGTGCTATTGAAGGGTTGAAGAGAGAGGTGGAGCAGTTATCGGGGAAATCCGGCGATGCATTTGAATCCTTGAAACTTCAGGTTGAAGGCCTTGGTATAAAAGAGACGATTGAGGCGCTAAAGGCTCAAGTTGAAGGTCTTTCCGGGATTTCAGGGGTTCCGGTGCCCTTCGGGCAGCCGGCGGCATCAAATGAGGAGATAAAGGAGTCGATGGAATCGCTCAAGAGGGACATCGAGGAAGTGATGGAAAAATCGATGGGTTCTCTAGTCGCTAGCAAGCCGGACGATACCGAAGTTAGAGAGTGGATAGGCGCCCTAAAGGAAGAGATGGTGGTCTACGTAGAGAAGAGTGTTCAAGCTGCTAAGGCGACTAATCCCTCTGAAGCCATTGATGGGCTAAGGCGAGAAATTCGAGAAGCAATGTCAAGGTCTGGTCACCATATTCCACACGAACCAGAAAGAACGCAAGTTGGCGAAAAGGTTGAGAAGATCAAAGAAGCCTTCGAGGAACTCCGGAAGGTGGTAGAAAAGAATTCCGGCACAGATCCAGCTACTAAGTCAACCCTGGAAGAAGGTGTTGAGACAATTCGGATGGTAACAGACGGGATGAGACATGAGCTTAATAACTTCCGGGCCGAAGAAAAGGAGGCAATTGTTGATGTCAATTCTGCTATCGGTGAATGTCGAGTCGAGGTTGCGGTCGTTAAAACTCTGGTCGACGAAAAACACACGGAAATCAGGGATAGCATTACGGGGTTTGCTGCTGCCGTGGATGAGTCCAACACAGACCTCAAAAGCTCAATCACTGCAGTCCATGCTGTGGTTGAAGCCCTGCAGAACTCAAGCAACGAAGCAGCTACGGGTGTTGCCGATTCAGTTGCAAAATTAAGAACCGAAACCCACGACGGCATAATCGGTGTCAACCTTTCACTTTCTGATACGAAGGAAGGGATTTCCGGGATTTCTAGTGGCATATCCGAAGTCCACCATGAAGTCAAAGGAGGAAACGCTAGCATTAGCGGTGCCATCTCCGAGACGAAGGAAATGATCTCAAGTTTCAACGAAACTGTTACCTGCTCTTCCACTGGGGCAAGGCAAGACATTGACGGTGTCAGAAACCTAGTCGAAGCCCTGAAGAATGAAACCTCGGCGGGCTTCGTGGGAATAACGGACGCTGTCGAGACCGCCGCTTCCGAAGTAATGGAAGTCGTTTCCGCATTGACCACAAAAACCGAAGCTTCTCAGACCAACTTATCAGGGCTTAAGGCTATCATCGAGGAGTCTCAAGCTACGAATAAGTCCGCTTTGACCGATATTAATACCTCCATCGAAGAACGTGCGACCGAAGTCAGGGAGGATGTTTTTGCGGTGAAAAAAGCGGTGGAAGAATCGAGTATTACAGTCTCTCATGAGCACCGCAAAACCCAAAAGCAGGTTGAGGACGTGCTCGGACTTGTTGATGGATTGCATAGTGAACTCAAGGGGCAGCAGCCGACACTACTCAGCGCTTTACTGGAACTAAAGAATCTTCTCCAGGAAGCGAATAAAGAGATTGCCAAGAAGTCAGATATTGACGCTATACCTCCTCCCCCTGCGTATGACGACTCTCAGACCCAAGAAAAGCTCAACACGTTGATTTCCGGGAACACCTCGGCAGCCAAGTATCTTCCCCAACTCAGTCTTCTCGACTCAATTCAGAAGCAGGTTACCACCACCTCCGCCGATATTGCCGAATTCCTTTCAATGCAAAAGGAAGTTCTCCTGGAAGACACAAGCTCTAAAATTGATGCGGCAAGGCAAGCCGAAATGGATCTTGAGATTGCTAGCGCAGAAAGGGAAATTGTGAAAGCTGCCGCAGCATCCCTTCGAGAGGAGCATGCTAGCCTCCAAAACTCTGTTGAAGCCCTGAAGGAAGAAACTAGTGCGCTTTTCACCCGAAAATTAAAGCTTACTGGCGAAGTTGCTAGCTTAGAGACTGCCTTGGACCTAAGGCGGGACGAGCTTATGCTTCTCGAAGCAAGGGCTGAGGGGCTTGAACGAAGGGTTGTCGAAGGGGTGATTGAACAATCCAGGGCCCTCCTAATGAAACCCAAAGGCAATTCCTCGCGCTCATCAAAGGCCGATACCAGCACCGCCTCACGCAAAACCCACAGCAGCCCAGCCGTCAAGCCAAGCACCAATGGTCGACGAAATCTCTCTCTCAACGAAGTCCAGAGTGATTCGCCGACTCTAGGGACATCCTCAAAATCTGGTAGGACCAGTCTCACCGGCAGCACCTTGGGTTTAGGACAGAAGGAGTATTCTGCTAGCCTGGGGCTCTTGAAGCGAAGCCAGTCAACCAAGAGCGTCGGAAGTTCGGAGAGACGGAAGAATAGCTGGGGCCAAAAGCTCGGCCGTGCATTCTCAGGCACAGGTGGCAAGGAGAATAGCGATGGGGTGCTTCCCACAAATGAGGAGGAGGCTGGAGAGTACGATGCCGATGAAATTGCGGAAGGTGATGATGACATGGACGCCGAGCTGGAGCGTTTGATGCGAGAGCAGGAGGAGAGTGATTTTGCAGATGGGCGGAGGGGTAGTAGTGGCAGTGTCAGGAGAATGGCAGCCAATGAACGGGGCGAGGAGCAAAGTGGCAGTGAGGCGGGGAGGAAGTCAAAGGCCTATCCAGCGCTCGGGTTAGACTTTTCCGATGAGCCTATGAGCAGAAGTATCAGTGGTGTGAGCACTGGGGCTTAGATTGCTTTCTATTTTTCCTATTTCATTAATTTCATTCTTCCCCTATGTTTCACGGTCGCTGGTGTTTGTTACGAGAGATGATGGTACACCTGTGGGATGAGCGGAATCTTGTGATACCCTGGACGTGTCGTTTATGAATGTTTGCTTGGTGAAGCTGGTTTCCTTGATAATAGCTTTTTTGTTTTTGTTTTTTGCTTCTTTATTATTGTCGATTGCAATGTACCTATTTCATACCCTTGCTTTCTCTTTCATTGTAGTTTCTTATTTTCTCGACTCTGATGGCTGTTTTCCTGAAATTCGTAACATGCATGCATGCGAATGGATGGAACGGATATTTAGGGATGGGCCGGGGGAGGTTCAAGGGGTCACTCTGGTCTATGAAGTTCTTGTTTTCCTCTTTCTTTCTTATTCCTAGGACGCCGAAACACTTGTTTCTTTATTTCTTTTTTTATTATAGCGCATGATATGCATCCTAGGGTTTTTCTATGATACACTTTTGCTTGGTATCGATAAATGTGATTACTTTTCTTCTCATCCTGTGGCAAACTTGAGTTAACCTGGCACTGAATGAATAACGTGATTGATACCCTGAGTTAAGATTGGACGTTAAGTTAACTTAGTTTAGATAGAGTGTTGTGGTGTATCATGGCCGGAAAGCTAGACTATGATACCTGCATGTTGGAAACTAAAGTGAGAATCTACCACGCAAGTTACTCACTCGCTCACCCACCATGCGAATTTCTGGGTGAGGTTTAATGCCCAAAATTGAGGTGGGGAGAGGGCACCGGCAGCACTACCAGGATTATCTCGTCAGATTCTAATAAGCGTAACCTCCCACTCGAACACTGAAAATGCGGAGTCCACGGGGAAGGCCAGTCACCAATATTTCTCACTTCATAATGCAGTACTATGCGATCTCCTCGTTCAGTCCTTTGCGGTGCTGTGCCTCCGCAGTAGTACCCATAACATCCCCAGCCCATTACAGTGGATTTATCTCGGAAACCCGGGTGTCCGGCAACGTAGGAAAAAAGAATGAAAAAACTATTGAACTTCCCAACGAACAATACCAGACTATCGGGCTGAGCAGTTGCTATAATAACCCCCTTCAAATGCCAGCACACAAGAGCAATATGGTGGGAAAGTCTCCCTAATAACATGTTATACCGGCACCCCCCAGTATCCATTCCAACTGCAAAAAAGTGTTGAGGGGGTTCCGTGACGCGCTGTGCAAGCACTAGCTTACAAAGCGGTCCTACCATACAGTGGGCTAAGTCATATCCGAACCGCGTTTATTTCGCGGCAAGTTACGGGTGTGCGTGCTGCAGCGAGGCCGGCCGGAGACTCGGAGTATGATACTGGGGTGGGGACGTGGCGTGAGTGCTTTGCTGGTGAACGCCCATGAGCAAATACCCTTTCGCGTCCAAAGGGATATATCACAAGTTACGGGGACGTCTTGTTGTTTGTATATCAGCGATGTAAAAGGAAAGGGTATGTTTGACTGCGATGAAAGCAGGATCTGGAGAAGGGGGGGGGGGGGCAAATTAATTCCACATGTGTCACACTATGCAATACCCCAAAAGGGCTTCCTTCCTTCCAGGTGTCGGTGTTTTGGAAAGTATACCGGAACGGTTTTTTCTACGATATGATATCCACAACCATTAATATAGTCTCCCTTCGAAAGCATTGCGCCTGGCTTTTTCAGGACGCCTGCAATCGCTAACTGTTATTAAAGGTGTGCTAACGCGTCATGCCGTAGGTTCCTCCGTTGCGGACAGTTTAATTGACGCAGCACGAAATTGCAGCTGAAAGGCGCGATGCCGGAAAATTACATCTCACGCTATGAGATTTGATGCGTGGTAAATGGCATCCTTTGCCGCAGGAGTTCACGTTGTAATTTGGAAAGTGGCGATGAATTAAGTTCCCCCCCCCCTCTCTTACATCCCGATCAGGATCGAAGGTGTATCATAACAATGTTAGCTTGGATAACGGGCTCCATCATGGGGCTTACCGTAAGTGACGCTATAGCACCGTATCGTCTTTGTTGTATCATACGCTAACACTTGCTGTATGAACCTTAGACATCAACGAGTGATGGACTGTGATTATATTATAATAGAGGAGAGAGCTGTAAGGGCCAAGCTACCTGCTTGGGAATTAGAAAACTGAAGTGTAGCAGTGTGTGTGTGAACGTACTGAAGCAGGGCTAAAAATAAAAAAATTTACCCCGAGATGTTCCGTAAGTTACCAATCATAGTGGTTTTACTTTTTTGGTTTGGGGCACTGAATAGTATACTAAGAGCGTCGTGTGATGGTAATTTCTCTCCGGATTCCCCAGAGATCTACCCTTCCGTCTTGGTTGGTTAATCCAATGGTGATTCTTGGAATGGCTCGTTGGATTGTTGGTTACGTTAGCCGTCGAACGGTATTTGGCTTTGAAGGACTTTAGAGTACCCTTCGATCAGTAGAAATACAGGGTAACTTAGATCATGGTAAATGTGGCAACCTACCATGGCATCGTATTGCAGTACGCTACGTGAGTATGGTACTGCACTTTGCCGTCTCGGTGGATATCAAAAATCTCGGCCCCTATCATCACAGAATCTGGTGCGAGGTTGCGAGAAAGAGGCTTCAGCCCTGTATCCCCGCTGGGAACTACACTGCGATACCTTAAGTTAGGTGTTGGGTGATTTTTGTGACCAATTCACCAATGGGGCTTGAGGTACCGCACTTTATATACCGAGCCAGCCGCTTCTGCCACGGGCACTCAAGGATGTTTGTTCATAGGGATGCAATAGTTGTGCTACGCTGCAGGATAGCGGTTGAAGAGGTGAGAACTTCCATGGTACCGATGCCGCAAGCACAGGTGACGTGTCGAGACCAACCCGGGAAGATTGGTTAGGCGGCTCCGAGGTATCATATCCTTGAAGATTTTCCACAAAAGATCCCCCATTTATTCAGCCCCCGGGAATTTTAGTTGCCAACTAACTCTACCACGAATCGTCCATCACCTGCAAAATCCTAAGCAGCAAGAACTGAAAATTTCTCAACCATTCAGTCGTAATATCGGCTCTTTAAATGGGTGGAACAGGTATACAACTGCCGATGACCGATCCCAAATTCTAACCTGGTTATGACCACTAGACCCCAGGTCATGGCATCAAGGCATTCAAGGCCGCCGGGTGAAAAATTTAGGGGACTGACTCTTGTGAATCCGGGAATTCAGAAGTTGGTACGCCGGCAATCGGGGAGGTGAATCTGATGACGCAGTCCTGCTTTGCTACGGGGCACGGGGGGCGGAAAAACTTATACTGGGTAATAAGGATGGAGCTCGAGGAATGGAAGAAAAGGGGCAGGTACTAAAAAGCCGTGATGCTGGCTCATTGGTGATAGGAAGCTATTGTGATCCGGCTAAAGGATAAAGTGCCACCATTGCATGCTTCTATTCTGACTTCGCCGCCCGAAAGGAACAGTCATCCACGAGCATGCTGGGCGCCCTGCAGGAACAGCTGGTTACGGGGCTAGGGAAGGACCCGGAAAAGATATATGAAGACCAAAAAAGTGCCATTGGTGGGCGGGGGGCGGGACTTTCCGATACCGTGAAGATCATGCAAACAATCTCTCCCAAAAAAAAATGCACGTCCATCCACATAGATGCTCCAGATAAGGAGACATCCACCGTCAGGTCAATCCATTTTACTCTTCAAGAGTACAGTACAGTACCTCCGGCCCATCCCAAGCTTTTCGGTACAGCTCACTCAAAAATAGCAGTAACCCGCTTGAGTTATCTCTATGATACTCCCCAACAGGCCAAGGCACTTTTGGCCACTCCCTCTCCCAATCCTCAGGACACATCATCTCTCGAATCTCCTTCTCTACGTTGGGGATCCCACGCAAAACGGATCTTTCAGGGCGCGCAGGACTACTCGTGCCAAAGCTATTTGACGACTACAACAATCACATATCCACAGATCATCTTGGAAGCACAGAAAGGGTATCTTTATACTGTTGATCCCTGATCAGTAGTCTACACCGTGCATCCCCCCTTGGGCTTGTTCAATCTGTAGTTAGTCTGGTGGAGGTGGAAGGTTGTGATGTCAACCGAAACGACCGTGAGGGTAATACACCTCTCATGTTGGCTGCCGAGAATGGGCTCGAGGGGGTGGTCGTGAAAATACTACTCGCGCGGGAAGACGTCAATCCCGATAAGCCAGATAGCCCAGGCCAAACTCCACTATGGCTAGCCACTGAGAACCCCTATACCAGAGTAATAATGCCACCGCAGCACCAAGAACCAGCCACTCTCAGTTCGTCCTAAGGCCGAGGAGACATCTTCCTCCTTACCTTCTTCGAATTCAAACAACCAATCCGCAATTTCCCCAAGGACCACAACAATCCAATAAACATGTATATACCCCCGTCTTCCTCCTCCAACCCCGCACAACCTCCTCCTCCCGCAATCCAAATAGCCGCCTCCTGGTTGCGGTAATTTCCACCTTTTCCTTTCCTCCCGGGGCACGCCTTCCACAGAAACTCGGCTCAAATATCCCCTCTCCTTCTGCATAAGGAATGCACATACCTACCGCATACCCGGCAAAAACCTCCGCCCAGACCTTACGTGGTCGAGCCAGAAATTTGTCAGGTTCTGTTTGTAATCTAGTGTTTGGCGCCCGTGAGGGGTACTGTACTCACTCATATCGCTGAGATAAGCCAGTGCAGCTTGAAATTTGCCTCAAATCCCCCTTTTTCCAGCTGTATCATAGACCGTCTTTAAACATCTCTTCCTTCCCTACTTTTTTTCTACAATTCACACTTTGCCCTGCCCTTTCTTCCCCTCCCCTCTCGTGTACACGTGGGACCTGTTCAGATATAAAGAAGAAAAATAGAAAGTGCAAGTATTCCTGAGCCCCAAGAAAAGCGATACAAAAGCCAACTCGTCACCGTAACCGGGAGCCGATGGCATAGGATCACGTTTACATCCCACTTACCCACCCTCCAATTGTGAGCCCGAAGATTGAGGTCCGGACGACCATCCACGTTGGCACTGCACTGCATGATACGGCACTCACACGGACAAGAACACTCGATGAACCCAGTACTCTACTGTACTGTACAGTGCTGTACACAACCAGAGCCTTCACGGATGATTGATAGATATCCTTACACAACCCCCCCCCCCACCAGTCCCACATCCCCAGAAGAGCAAGTACCGTACCCAGCCAGCACAAACCGCACTCGGCCAGTCCTGCAGAATCCGAATCCGAATCCACCGGCACGTCGTCGCTTCCCGAAAGGGGTCTGAACAAACCATCACTGTGCGAACACTGTACTGTACAGCACAGTACTATACACCGCGAGCAACAAATAATCCCCACCACACCCTCTTCAAATTTCAGCAAGATAACACATCATAACCAGCCACAGCCCAAACCCTCCATTACCGTATCCCAACTCTCCAGAACCAATGTGCGCAAACAACGCCGTTTAGAAGAAGCTCATGGCAGTCAACCTGAATTATCGTATCAGACCATGTCATATCGTGCCCACGCACCCCCGCCGAGTCCACCGGTTCAATGATGGGAATCACATCCACATCCGCAAGGTACTCGTTGTATGATACAATGTCATGATGCAGAAACACTAAAAGACAAAAAAAACCCCCCCCGACGATACCGGGCATTTGTTCTGCTACCATCGCTATCACAAATCCCCTTATGACATGCTAGTTTTGGACAGATAGATCGAATACCCAGTGGATCGGACCATTTTGAAACGCTTGGAATCACGCCGGGTTCAATAATTGCACACAAGGCACTCCATGGGCCGGGCGGTTACACGCTTTCCCACTATCGCATACGGCACCATACCGTAATCGGATGGTAGGCTATCATACATAAACTCAATGTGCGAACCCTAACAAACCTAACCATGATCGAGTGATAGTTTATGATCACACACTAGGCTACCCCTCGTTATGCACACAAGTGTATATATTAGGCAAAAATTCAATTCAATTCGACAAAGATGAATTACAGTATAAGCCAGCATAGTTGATAATGAAAGAATGCAGGGAGTTATCCCCTCCTCGCCCTTTTTTCGAGTGGAACTCACTCCCGCGTCCTATAGCGCGCGGGCCCGAGTTCCCCAAATACGTAAGTAAGCAGGCAAGAAAGCAAACAAGAATCCAGCCGATTAAACAAGCTAAGGAATGAATGAATGAGTGAAAATATGACTCGCCCCACATTTTTGAAATGTGGATCCGAAGTTTATCTCCCTTGCCGCGTTCTAACGGGGGCGTTTGGCGCGGTTTTTGAGCCAGCCCAAACCAGTCCCTAAAAGACATGACAAGAAAGTATCAAATCATCTGTGTGCGGGTGGTGCCTACAATTTAGAATATCCGGATCTTCTGTTTCTTGATACGCGGGAAGACGCCTGTGAGCTGGTGTCAGCTTTGTTACCATTAGCACTCGAATAAATAGCCTACCAGCCACAACCAAAATGCTAACTAAGATCACGCCCCAAGCCTTCAGGCCCAAGATGTTGCCCGCATAGTAGGTCGAGGTGGCAAGTATAACGTTGACCAGGAACAGAGTTAAGAGGAAATATCCGGAGACACGATGATATTTGTACTAACTCAATATCAGTGAAACACGGCATCGGAAAGGCGATCAAGGGGAATCACAATAGCCCTCGCATTACCAACACCGCCATAGAGGCCCGGGACAAAGTATTGCGTAAATCCGATAAATGCCTGAACAAGGAGGACCGAGTATATAATCACACCAAGGATAGCGTGCGGTGATTCAAAGTGAGGTACTATGAAGCATTAAAATCCAGACCCCCGGGAACAGAAAGCAAATGGTAGTAAAACATACGGCCAGTCCGCTTCTTGTGCACAAGGACTGAAGCAAGAGCACCGTAAAAGCACAGCGCAGCAAGTGCTGCGAAACTAGCGTGCGCATAGGTACCCTTCGCACATTAGCAAACCAGAGCCTTCCCTCCCCAATCAACCGCATCGCCAGCACAGCAAAAGACCCACTTTCCGTTTCTGATCCGTTGTATGCGTAGGCTGCAAGACCAATATCGCCTCAAGAGCGAACAATATCGCCAGCTAAATAAACAAGACGGAGCCAAACATTAACCAACTGGCTCCTAAGGAGATTACGGAACCCGGCCAAGCTCGTCGATAACTCACCGAATTAAGCAACGGGTGTAGCGAAAACGGTACCAAAATCCGATGCGTAAACACAACTCCCCAGACCAAGCCCACGAGCTGTACAACAATAGTCGCCAAAGTCAGCCAGCCCAAATAGGGAATCCCCGCAGAAAGACCTCAGGGGCATCTCCCATGAGATCTCGTGGCTCGGAAGACTCACGACCAAACCCCCAACCTGTGCGAGTGGAGAAGTCCCTGAGGTACGCAAACTATCAGTTTACAACGGACTAGATAGAGGGGCAAGCTATGTTTATGAAACTAACCAGCAACAAGATTATGAAGCAAACTCTCGTCCTCGCCCTGCGCGACGTCCCCGGGTCTACCTAGGAGTGGCTCTTGCTCGGAGGCGGAAGAGGCCGTGGCTGCCTGGGGCGTATCTTGGGGTGTATCTTGGGCTGGCCAGGTGAGCGCATGGCTAGATGGGGAGAAGGGGGGAGAAAGGAGCATACAACTCATCACGGTACGGTTCTGTCTCTGTTCAATTTTACCGAAGCAGCGCGCTTGAAGTGAGCTCGTTAGAACTATCACCCCCCCCCCCCCCCCCTCTCTCCCACCGAACACTCACTCGCTCACTCACCTCACAAAATCAACCGTAGGGACAACCCGGTCATGCACCGTCTCGTCTCTGTACCGCAGATGGATAAGCTAGGCCCAAGAATAATCACCAAACAAGCAGACCGTTAAAGCAAGAATTGCCAAAAAAAAAAGGTAGGGTAGACGACGAATTCCTCTTAAACTCCCGTCCTCTTCTTTCCAAACCACAGAAATAACAGCAGGAGGGGGGAGGGGAGAAGGGGAGAAGGGAGGGAGGGAGGCAAGGAGAGTGACAAGAAGGAGCCCAAATGATGAAATCAATTGGGCTTACAAACCCCCCGGAACTTCGGACCAATCGATAAGCTCGGAATTACATCACTTACACCATCGCCAAGACTTGACCATTTACCAAATCGATTCAACCGAATACCAGTATCGGTATCCAACGAGAACCTTTCCCTTCCTGTTCGATACCAGAGATACCGGTAAATTTGCCAAGACTAGTCTACCGTACCGGTGGAGAAGAGAGCATCCCCGAGACCCCCCTCTGGCTTCCTTGCGCCATTTCCTCACATTGGTGTGAATTTCACTTTACGTGTTGAGGTTGGGGGGACTGCGGACTGGTACCGTATCATATTTATTCACCCGTAATTATCCTGCCTTGTCCGGTCAGTGCTTTGTCGCGACACCGTTCAGTGCGATACCGTACATTAAAAACAGAAGGAGGGCCAAAACGCATGGGAATTGCGGGCTTTGGAGCGACCGGATCCCAACATGAAATATACGCCGGTATATATATATATATATTTAGCACGCCCGGAGCACCACATGATATATATTTATTTTGGGCTCGTGTATACAGAGCTATGGATGCCTGAACCGGCAGCTGGGTGAGGTCTGATACAATGTACTGTACTCGTATACTACAACTGTATCATACGGTAGCTTTCCCACACACAACACTGGTCTCGGCGGGCACTATACGTACTTGTACCCCGAGGGAAAGTACACTCCATCACGCGCCCCACTACCCCATGAGAATGGAAGGGGGAATAATAATAAAAAGTCGCGAGATTTTTTATCCGGACGCTATTGTAGTAGATCACCTTTCTGAAGGGAGGGGCTTCTATGCTGTTTCTGCCCATGGTGGTTGGAGAATGGTAGGATCGGTACTGTACCTCCAAAACTTTCGATTCTGGTGCGTTGGCCTCTGCCTGGTTACCCAAATCCATGACCTCCGTTGCGGCACATGAAGTTATAATAGCCTCTGCCATACCTTAGTGCAGCTGTAGACTACTCGAGTACATAGACTAATGACATCGCGGGAAATGTAAAAGCACGTGAGTGAGCCAAAGATACTACTTGTATGATACTGTAAATACCCGTACCGGTATTCCCCCCAGAGCCCACAGCAGCGCTAACCTCTCAAGGGAGGAGAGTGGGGAGTCCCTCACGCAATCGTCACAACCGCCAAGCCCATCCCTCCCAAAGAGCCTCACAGCAACCCCACCACAACCCCACTACAATTATCACCAAAATCTCAAGACTACCCACCACCTAAAAAAAAAAACCCCGCAGCAAACATCCCTTCCGCCGCGATGGCCATAGTAACCGAACTCCCCCCGGGCGTCGATAACGAAAACCTGGACATGTCCCGCCTGGTCGAGGAAGCCGCCGCCCGAAATGCCATCCCCACCCCTGCAATAACAGCCCCCGGCGTCGCCCTACCCCCCGCCATAGCCGGAGTGAAAAACACCACAACGGAAGAATTCCTCAAGGCAATGAACAAAATGCCCCTCTTCATGACAGAGTTGGACGAATCGAACGAGGACGGCACAGGCGAGAATTCAGAACTGGAGGCGCTGAAGGCGCTGGCGTACGAGGGGGAACCGCACGAGGTGGCGCAGAACTTCCGCAACCAGGGGAACGACTGCTACCGTGCCAGGGCATGGCGCGACGCGGTGGAGTACTACACCAAAGCGCTTGCGGTGAAGTGCGGTGTGGCGGAGATAGAGGAGGCGTGTTACGTTAATCGTGCCGCTGCGAATCTCGAATTGAGTATATCCCCACCGCCTCCGGCGCCCTGTGGGTTACTAACAAAGTGCAGAAAACTTCCGTAAAGTAATAACGGACAGCAAGTCGGCCCTGCAGCTAAACCCGCACAATACAAAGGCCTGGTACCGCAGCGCACGCGCTCTCCTTGCCCTCGACAAGCTTCCCGAATCCCTCCAATGCATCGACAACGGACTCAGCACCTCCCCCACCAACCAGCCCTTAATATCCCTACAAGAGCAAGCCCTCTCCCGCCAATCCCACCTCTCCGCCCTCGAAACTGCGCGGCAGCAGCGCGTCCAGCGCCAGCTCGCCATCGAAAAAACCCTCGCAGCGGCACTCGCTACTCGCAATATCACGCTAAGGAGGACCCCGCACCCGCCCGACATGGAGGACGTTCAGGCCCACCTCGAAGACCCGCTGGATCCGGCCAGTGAATTGTACTTTCCCGCGATGTTCTTGTATCCGTTGCAAGGGCAGTCGGACTTTGTTAAGGCTTTCGCCGTGAGCTCGGAGGTGGGGGCGCAGTTAGGGGTTGTGCTCGCGGATTTTCCCGAGTGGGATCACGAGAAGTCCTATTCCCCGCCCGGGAAAGTGGAGGTTTTCGTCGAGACCAGGACGGGCGGGCTGGTCAGGGTTGGGAAGAAGGCTACGCTGGGGAGTGTGCTGGGGAATGGTGGGAAGGTGGAGGTCGTGGACGGGCTCGTCAAGTTTTTGATCGTACCGAAGGGGGAGGTTGGGACCTTTTTGGAGGATTGGAAGAGGAGGATGGGGAAGTAGGGAGGGAGAAGAGAGGTTATGGACTGTACGATACAAAAATTAATAAATTAGACGATCTACCCTTAACTCACCCCTCCCGCACAGATTAACCACCGAGCCGAGCTTAGCTCTATTAGAACTTTTATTCATACCCAATCATAACTTGAGTACTACTCATCAAATACAAAACAAAAGCATCATAGCCCAACCCAAAAATAAAAACGAAAAACGTAAGACGACAGCAGAGTAAGAAAGTGTATATAATATATAGATATATATACAGTAGAAATGAAAAGGAAAAAACCCCCAGTCCCAGACCGTACTTGCAAGCACCCCCCATCAAGAGCTAATCACGACACTGGTAGATAGGAATATGACACAAAAACGGATAATCACCGCAGCCAAAGCAAAGGAAAGCACTGTGTGGAAATAATGCATAAGAAACCAACCAGAATCATTTCCAAGCCTAATTCACAACCGCCACCGCAACCCCCACAGAGCAACTCACCCCGAAAAGGTACTTTCGTGCGCTTATATATGCATGAATGAATGGACGCATTCCCAGCTCGCTCGGTCCGCCGTAGCCCTCTCCGCAGCGCACGCAGCGACTCATACAAACGCCCGCCATGGTATAATAATATAATCCCCCCATGACCAAACAATAAATCAATACAAGAAAGGGACGGAAAAAAAAAAAATCAAACGACAAACTCCCCCCGCCCGCCCGCCAGCCAGATTTTTATATCATAAACAGTACAGCCCAATAAGAAACGTAAAAGCTTATCAAGGAGCAGGCTGATACACCCAGCCCCCTTGCTCGATCATTCTCAACCTCGCTTCATGATCCGCCGCAATCTCGGCAGGGGTGAGCCTATCCGCGCCGTTCCAGTTAGCAGATGAGGTACGCGATCTGAAGCGTGCCATCTGTCGCTCATTCCTGTTGGTGAAGATGGCCTCCATGTCCAAGCGTGCCATGGGTCCGAAGACCTCCTCTGGGTTCATCGTCTGCTGGCGTTGTAGCTGCGCGCGGAGTTCCGGGGATTCAGCCCAGTCGGGAACGCGGAAGGTGTCTTTCGTGGCGTAGTCGTCGTCGTCATCTTCGTCTTCGGAGCTGAGCGGGGATCAGTGATTGAATTGGAGGATGCAGTAGGGGGGGGGAGTGGGGAAACATACTCTGTAGGGATTTCGGGCAATTCAATGAGCTCGCCATTTTGGTAGATTGGCGACTCCTTCACGCCAGCCGGGGTTTTTGTAGGCCTCATTGACTTGGACGTCCCGGGAGTCTTGAATGCTGTGGAATTAGAGGGAGGATTTGGAGCAGGATCGGAAGAGGAAGGTCCAGAGGCAGAAGTAGGAGTTTCTGCAGGTGCGAATCTAAGCTTTTCCTTCGAGAACTTGACACCCTCGACATGCGGTACGGTGCCAGGCTTCGTGGGAGGTCTAAGCGCAGACGGAGCAGTGGACGAAGATACGGACTGGCTCGCCGGTACGTAGCCATGGGGAAGCCCACTCTTCTGACCGAGACCTCCCCTAACAGCTGATTGTCTGATAGGAGGCGCCATTTCCTTTGCAGGCCTAGGACGCTCCTCCTCAAACTCCCCGGTACGGCGTTTCTTCGCACCCTCCTGCTGATACGCTGGGCCACCAGGCCTGGGTGGAGCGAGGCGTGCATTCTGGAGATCATCCGACGATGACTCCTGCTGCAGAGTGCGTTTGCTAGCATTTGACTTCTGGAAGCTGGCAGCTTTAGTCTGGTACTCGAGTCTCTTGTTTTCGGGCTCTTCAGACTTTTGACGGAGCTTCATTCTGTTAGCTATCCGAACGTACAGACGTTCAAGTCTAGGACCTACATTGGCGACAGACTGTATCCTCGATAAGGTCTTCGCAGAAGGAGGGACAGCTTGTGCAGGTTTTTGTCTCATCTTTTTCTGCTCTTCCTCTTGAATTTGTCGCCTCTGATTCTCTTGTCTGCGGCGCTCTATCTCCCGCTTTGCCGCCATTTTCCGTTCCCGTTCCTCTTGTTCCTGGATATCAAAAATCGAATTAGTACCTAAACCAGGCCGGAGCAGGAGGTGAATAATAGGCGCAACCAACCTTCTTCAATTGATTAGCAGCAGCGGTCAAGGACTTCAATTGCTTCGAGGTTCCTGTGTTGGAACCGCTTCGCATACTAGAGTTAGAAGGAATCGATTGAAGGCTACCCTGACTAGCACTAGCATTGAGAGATGGCTCAAAGCTGCTCTTAAGAGCCGATATCAACGAGGAACCTGTTGGGGCAGTCATCTTGCCACGTTGATCCTGCATCTCTCTCTGACTAGCAGTGCCAATCCGAATGTTAACAGGTGCCGGCTTAGACTTTTGCACCTCCTTTGCAGGTCTAGACGGACGCTTAGTTTCCGCAGGTCTCTGAAATCTTCCGCCAGCTTTCTGGAGACGGGAAGGAGGACGCTCCGGTTCCGCGGAAGAGCCAAACCGCCCACGATTTTCCTCACGATCCACAGCCTTTTCTTCCTCCTCGTCTTCGGAGGGCGATGAGGGATCAGAAGAGAGTTCTATCGGTTTCCTCCGTTGTTCTTCCTTCTCCCGTTGTTGCTCAGCTTGTTGGCGCCTTCTAAGCTCCTCTTTCTCCTTCCTGAGCATCTCCTCTTGGTGCTTGCGCCTGAGTTCCCGGACCTGCCTAAGCTCCTCTTCCCGAGCCGCATTCTTGAGTTTTCGTGGAGATTTTACCAAAGGTGGCGCTGGCTCCGTTACCTCCTCTTGGGGCGTCTCACGAGACCTCGAGTTCCTTGTTTGACGACCCTCCTTGACAGGTTCAATAGCAGCAGCCCCACCAAGAGCTACTTCTTCTACCGCCTTCTCAGCTACATTCCCCGCCTTTTCCGCCTCCGCCTTGCCCGCTTCCTTGGATCGCGAATTCCTCGTTTGCCGGACCTCCTTCACCGAAACAGGCTTCTCAACCGGCTTCTCTGCAGATAGCTCTTCCGACAATTCCTGAGCCACAGTGACTGAATTAAGATCCGGATATAATTGCTCCACGGGGGATTTGGCTGAAGGCTGAGAATGTCCTATCTGTGTATCGGTCTCCGCCGATTGCTTCACAGCATTGATTCCCTGCCACCTAGGGGCTGGGCTGAGCGATTCAATCTTGGCCGAGGCACTCGAAACTGAGCTCTTAAGCAGCATCTCCTTGGCCTTCTTGAATACACTTGCAGTGTGAGTCTTAACCGCCGTTATAGCCCCCTCACCCCTCGGGGAGAGCGGCGATTGCAGATCCGGTTCCCGATGCCGCACCTCCGAGAATGACTTCGAAAGCCTAGGACGTGCCACGGGGGATCTCGGAGGGGGGGCAGAAACATCACTCATGGTTCTTGTAAGTGTCGCCATGCGTGCTGTTTGGGTCTTCTTGGGCGAATCAGGGCGTCGAATAGGTTCCTCCTCGACGCCCAATCTTGGCTCGGTATGACTTCTTGTCAGACTAGGCTTAGTGAATGACTCCGAACGTGTCTTTCCCCCAACCTTCTCTCGCTCTTGTGGCAATTCATCGGTAACCGGACGAGCAGATTCACCCTGATGAGTGCTGTTAGGCCGCCTCGTTGGAGCAGGAGGTTGATCCTGCCTAAGCTGAGATAAATCCGGGTACGCTGGCTCCGCTGCAAGAATAGATACTGAGTGAGTCTCACGGGGAGCTTTGACCTTTCCAAGTTGTTGAATCTTTTCGTGAAGACGTTGAGTCGAAATTTTGTTATGAAGAGCTTTATCCTTCTCGGTCTCCCCATTTGAATCCTCCTCTCGCGCAGCCACCTCAGCCGGGCTGATACTCTTCGATTTCTTCCGTGACCTCATAGTATCCTGCTGTTCGCTCTTGCGCTTTAGAGACTTCTCAATTGGCTTCGGCTCATCTTCATCCCTATCTTCAATACTATTCGCCATCGTGTCAACAGGCCGGTTCGCAGCTCCTAAACTCTTGCCGTTGCCCTTCCGATTCATCCAGCTGGCTCTGCTTGTGCCGTTAGCACGAAGTTGCTCGAGATGGCTCTCACGAGTAGCCCTGACGCCCAAACTCTTCTTTTTGTTGGTTAATGGCTCTCTTGCAGGGAGAGATGCAAAGTTGAGAATGCTCTTCCTAATAACAGGTTCAGGCGATCCCGAGCCAGATCTCTCACTGGCAGGAGTCATCTGAGCTTCTGCTTGTAGTGTCTTCTCGGCCTTCTCAGCATGACGTAGAGGAGTTTCAGCCGCTGCTGGCCCTGGCTCAGGTGCTTGCGCTTGCTCGCTAGGCAGTTGAGGATATCCGTCATCTAGTGTTTTTTCTGTGAATGATTCGGCCTTCTTTTGTGATAGAGCCGGTCGCGTAACAGGAGGTGATGACGGTAGTGGAACCTCACTCTCGTTGTTAGACAATTCAGAATCCGTAGAACCACGTCCACTGCGTAAACGTCCAGACCGCCGGGGTTCAGGGGCCGGAGCAGCATCCTTCTTAGGCGAGCGAGATATGATCTTGACCGGGGATACCCGTTGAGGCTTTGGCTTCCCTGGGCTCTTCTTCGGTGACTTGGGTGCTTTCTGTACTGGCGAACGAGGACGCTCAGATGAAGCCTCATCCTCGTGCGCCGTGCGGAATGATTGTCGAGTAGTCCTCCCATCCGATTCCCCTCCGGGCGCCGGTAGAGGCGCGGGGGAGGGCAAAACAGCCTCCTCCTCCTGCACCGAGGCACCCACCGGCGTTGACTTCCTTCGTGAAGGATACACAGACTGTTGCGACGCATACTCTGATGAAGCACTCCAAATCCCACTATCATTAACCTGGGTCGCTGGAGCCTCCACCTGACTAAACTCGATGCCACTATCACGCATCACACCATCTACCTTCTGAGGAGGAGGAGGAGGAGCGACATCCTGCTGTTTCCGTACCAACCGATTGGGGGACTTGGAGCCCGAGCTCTTCTCGCGCGCCGGGCTTACGCGGCTGCCATTACTAGGGAGTTGTGAAAGGGCATTGTAAAATCTATTATCTCCAGCGGGCAGAATCGCAGCTGGCTTGTTGGCACTAAGTACATCGCCGAAAGGCTACATCACAACGTGTTAACGGAGATTAAAGGCTACAGATCGATATTGATGGCGACTAACCTCTACCTGTCTCAATTGTTGCCGGGCAGTTCGAGGTGTTTTCCCTCTTAATCTTCCTGGAGTCTTGAGCAGCTCAGCCATATCTCTGATTTCCTCCCATTAGCGCGAACCCCGCCGATTGACCCAACAGGGAGGGATTCTATCCAACATACACTTGACCGCGCTCGAAAATATCGGCCATATGCTCGTTGAGCCATTCCAACTCCCCCCGAGCCGAGAAAGTGAAATCCTCAAAATCCTGTTCGCCGAGTTGACGTATTGTTGTACGCTCATTTGTGATCCAGGTCATGGAGCCGACGGGGGCTATTTTCGAGATGGGGCGTCCGGCCATGATGCTTTGTCGAAATCAAAACAAACAAACCGGGCGGTAGGGTAAACAGGTGAAGAGGGAAAGAAAAGGGGGGACAGAAAATTACAAATGCCCCTCTCCTCCGTGCTGAATTTCCTTTGCGACACTCCGTGCTATCGATTCGAGATAATATATGAGAGGTTGAAAAGAATTCGTGATGAGGCGCTGCCGTGGTGGAGGGGGGTGCGGAAAGCTGAGATGGGGTGAATTGGATGAAGGAGAACGACGGGTAGGAAAATTGTTGTTGGGTGGGGGGGAGAGCTTTGTTTTGATGGGCCAAAACGCGCCAAGTAAGTCAGGTCCCACGCGCCCTATTGGCTAGGCCTTCTAGATCGCGTCTCTCCCGTGACTTGTAGTGCCTTTTTGGGTTCCTGAGGTTCCGATACCCACCGAAAGGGTCAAAGAAAAAGCCTTAGATATGACCTCTTTCCCCCTCCCCTCTTGATAACCTTTTCACGCGTTTTTCCAGGCATTGATATACAACTATGCAAGTATCTACCTGTGTGTACCACACAGTCTCATGATTACCAGAGATGGAATCTTTTAATTATACAACGCTCCTTTGTTGTCTTAAATTAAATTCTACATTATCTTGTCCTAGTCCTAGAGAGTATATTGCTCTTTCAAATATTAGTGACTTTAATCTTTTAAGCTTTTGCCCTTATTTGATTTGAAGTTTTTTTCCATTTCAACTATTCTGATAGTTTTTAGGACCACCTTCAAGTTGTAATATACTTGAGTAGAGTTAAATAAGAAAACTATGATTTGTATCATCCAAAACATATACTAGAATTTTACTTATCTTCAACTTATTATAACAAATAGCCGGATGTTGCTAAGAATTTTGCTAAGAATTTAAAAAAAAAACTTACTAACATATAGAAATTGTTAAGAACAATTAGTATTTACTAGTTTATATATATATTTATATATATATATATCCTTTCTACCTAGAATTATAATAATTTAAAATTATGTGTTTAAGTTTTGTATAAGAAAGTCTCTAATATGTGAAGCAAATTTATATTGAAATTTTCAATACTACTAGTATTAATTTTTTCTACTAGTATCTTAGCATTAATTTTTTCCATCTTAGTATTAGGTAGTAGTTAACTCTTAAGTGAAGAAAATTAGAACTAGGACTAGTAAGGTTTTTTCTAGAAAATAGTTAAGAAACCTTATAATAGAATAGGTATTAAAGTATAACAAATATACTAATAAGATCTTTTTTCCTTTTGCTAATAATATTTGAAGCTGGAGAAACACCTTAATATTTATATTTCATATCTACTAGATGGCTACAGGCTATATCTAATAACTTGAAGTACTTTTCAGATAACTTCAAGTTCTAAGTCTGCAACTCTTGCAAGTATATGAAACTCCTATATTCTAATAACTATTATTCTACTTAACTCTAAAATCTGTTAAGTTTAATACAAACTCCACTGGCAGAGAATATAGACTTTTTCTCTGGACCTAAACTTTTAATTCTTTTACTATAGTTGTTTTACTTAAGTTATACTATCAACTTACAAACTTGCTAATAACAGGTTGCCTCTGAATATAGGATAATCAAGTATAAGTTTTAGGACTTTCTAGCAGACATCTATAAGGATTACCCTTTATTATAGTCAAAATAATATGTATTACTTAATAAGAAATAAATAACTTTTTTATAATCTGTTAGTTCTTAACTACTTTGTAGTTATGTATTGCTACCAGTGAAAGGTATATTCTGACTAGCAGGTTACTCTATTTAATATATCCAATAAGTTTATCAAAATAACCAGTATAATAGTATTTTTATAGATATTCAAGTATCAAGTTACTGGTAGATAAAGTGGTATCAAGTTATGCTAGATATGATAGTATACTATTATGTAATACAAACTTGAATATCATGTCTCATGAAATAATATATTGATAAAATATATATATAAATATTTTATAGCAATTACTACTTAAATAAATATATGAGAAATTAACTAACTAGCTAGGTATAGTACCTCCTTGTATAGTACTTGGCCATTTATAAAGTATTCAAATGCCTTAGCATTATTAGCACCTGTATGAGTACAAAGTATCTAAATACTTTATAAATAACTAAGTAGTCCTCCATTAGTAAAATCTAACCCTTGATGACTCATACCAATGAGTTATACATAACATGTTATTGGAAGTCTAAGCTGCTCCTCATACCTACCCAGTACCTTTCTCTTCCTCTTCCTACCTGTCTTTCTTATTCTCTTTCCTTTCCCTTTTTCTTCCTATCTGTCCTCCTCATTCCCTTTCCTCTCCTCTCCCCATTCCCTTATCCTCCCCTTTTCCCTTACCACATAGTTTACTTGTTTGCTTATTTGTTAGTTTTTGAAAGAGTACTTCAGGAGTGCATAGTGGAGTCCTGAGAATAGCATAGTAGAGGAGCATAGCAGAAGAGGCTAGCAAAAGGAGATAGTGCCAAAGGGAGACAGAGAGCACAGGAGTGAGTATGCAGGAGATATAGCATAGTAGGGGAGTGCAAAAGTGTGGGAATGCAGTAGAAAGGTAAGAGTATTAGAAGGCGTATAGTAGAGTACTGGAGTGCAACAGAGAGTATGAAAAAGTACATGAAAGAGCATGATGGTGAACCAGCAGAGGAGCACATGAAGGAGCTCAGGAGAATCACATAGTAAAGGAGTGTAGGAAAGGTACAACAGAAGTGCACCACAGAAGTACATATAGTGAGAGTGCTAGTTTTTTTTCTTTTTTCTTTGTTAGCTTTTCTGTTCCAGTTTACTTCTGAAAGATGTACCTGTATGGGGGAAAGAGGTCTGAGTTTGTTTCTTTTCTTTGTAAGTTTGTATTTGTCTGTGAAAAGAAAGGAGAGGACCCACCCGGGAGGGTGGGAAAAGACTTTGTAGTTTGTCAACATTACTCTCATAGTAGATATATTCTCCTATGTCAGTTGTTAGTTAGTTGAGAGTACAATAGTTGGAGGAGTAGGTATGAGTGTAATAGAGAAAAGTTTTTTTGAGTTGAGTGATCCTTCTTTTCTGTGAATAAGCTTGGCATTGTTTTGTTTTACAGCCTATCACTCAGCTGGTTTCCAACTGACCAGTTGTGACATATCTCTGTTTGTTTGCCATTGCAACCACCATTCTACCAATCGTTCAAAACATATAACTTACAACTATAAGTTATGTAAGATTTATTAGCTAACTTCTATGAATTACTATATAATATACTTCAAATCAATTAAAGTTAAAATACTAAGTCATATACATATCTCATATTATATTATATACATAAAACCTATGACTTACAACTAGTATTTTAAATAGTCTAATCTCAGGTAATTAGTATACTATGCTCAATTAAATAATACTAGGATTTTAGCCTGGTATCTACTTTATATTATACCAACTATAAGATTAAGACTTTAGTTACTATTTAATCCAATTATGTTTCACTATAAACCTAAGTATGAATCTTACTTCATAGTATTTAGAAAACTAATACAAGGGCCATAGGTGATGTTTTCATACAAGGATTGCTAAGTAATTGGTAGGGTCAGGAGTAAAGAATGTGAAATACCAAACACCAAGACATAGTTTATTGTGATCTAAGAAACACCAGCAGCATGCCTCATTAGCAAAATCTTGTTTTTTTAAAGAAATAATACCTAAGCTCCACTAGGGGAAAAGAGATAAAGGTACTGAAATTGTTCTAAGAAATAAAAGTTTTTTTTTTAAAAAAAAAAAAGTAGAGCAGGATATGGCTCCAACCTGTATATAGCACTATTGCTTTTGGGCAGAGAATTCTCCCTCTTCCATTAGTCCAACCAGTTCAAGGACTCTTTCACCTACTCCCATACCTCAGCCAGTCTCCAGAAGTATAATTCTACAAAGAACATTGATTAGTGGTCCACTACACTCAAAAGTCTATAGTTTGCATAACCATGCTACCTGGACATTGAGACACATTGCAGAGGAAATTGGTATTGCAATTAGTACTGTATACTCAATCTGTCAGACATCAGCGACCTCTTACAAAGTAAAGCCTGGCCAACTGAAAATTATAACCACTTCTATTCATAAGAGATTGATTGACTTTGCAACTGCAAGTCAGAAAAATCGACTTCTATCTCTCCAAGAAGTTACTGAGCTAGCTAGAGTGAATACTAGTGCTAAGGTTCTTCATGCTGCATTTGCAACTAAAGATTACTGCAGGCCGGTAGCTTGTACATGCCCATTTCTTACCTTTAAAGCTAAGGAAAAAAGGCTTGATTGGATTGAACATTATACTAACTGGACTCATACTGATTGGTATAAGGTTTCTACTCCTTCTATTTTATTGGTAGCTAAGTACTGGCAATATTAATATAGGATTGATTAGGTAATTTGAAGTGACGAGTTAGCTTTTAATGTAGGTAGGATCTCTTCAAGTGGTCAAGTATGGGTTACTCAGCAGGCTAGTGAACAGGATCTGGAAAATTGTTTAGTATCAAGATTTAAGAAATGGGAAACAACCACAGTTTGGGTATGTTTTAAAGGGTAGCAAAAAGGACTACTAATTTTCTGCAATAAGGAGCAGTGAGGTAAGACTATTAAGGCTGTCTCTTTACTTCTGATATCATTCCACACTTTCATCAATCTTGGTAGTAGCAATTGTAGCCCCAACCAGACTACGTCCACCCCCAGCAAGATGGAACAAGCCCTTACCAAGCAGTATACACCCAGAATCACCTTCATACTCTCAGCATCTGAAGATATTTCATCAATTGGCCCCCTTCTTCTCCAGATTGTAGTCTGATAGAAAACCTCTGGCAAACTTTAAAGCAATATATTCGTTGCCACAACCCCTTTCCAACTACAAATATAGTTCTCTGCTCCGCTATTAAGGAAGAATGGGCAGCTATTACTCTGGATGAGTTGGAAGTGCTAGTAGCCTCACTTCCTCCTTGCCTTCATGATATTTAAACTCTGCTTTTTTTTTAACCTTTCTCTTTATACTAACTATAGGCTTCTATATAGGTTCTTCTTGCTCATGGTAGCTATTCTAGTTATTAAGAAGGATTTTGTATGCTCTGTTTTTTTTTTTCATTTCTTTTTTTTTCACCTTTCTTTTGTGTATTACTTGTGTTGCTTACTTTTTTTTTTTTTGTTTTCTTTTTCACAGTCTCTCATGCTCTTCCTATATTATTATTATCACTCCTAGGTCTTCATTCTTTTACAGTAACTCATGCTGAAGTGACTCTACGGTCAAGTGAGAATGCCCATACAATCTTTATCAGGCAGGAAGTATTTTTATAGGTATTCTCAATATGCCGTGGACTCACTATACTATGGAATACTATAGCTATGTATTTATGTTTTTCTATGCAATGAATTTCATGTCTTAAACATCCCTGCAAGCTAAGTCTTATACGAAAACATCACCCATGGCACTTGTACCTCTAGAGCTTTCTGGTAAATTCTTATAGCTACTGTTATAATATACAATCTTGAAAAATAAAAAATAACACTTTATTCAAGTTAAACCATTTCTATCATATCTTTGAATATATTTCACTTTATATTGTCTCTGTATCTTTTCATTATGCAATTGTTTTTTTGTTTCCTTAAATTTCTACCTTGTCCTACCCTTATCCCAGTCCTAGAAAATATTTTACTCCTTTAGAATTGCTGACTATGATTTTTAGGGCCTTTTTGTCATATTATAACTGTATTACGTCAAAGCTGCTACAGATTTCTTGAAGCTCGAAACCCTTTTATTCCCAACCCGCAAGACGATTGTACAAAAATATGGCATACTACCTGTAGTCGAAAATGAAAGAAAAAAAACAAAAAAAACATCTCCCCACATTTATCACCTCATGTACCACATCTGCTTATCCTCCCTATTCTCCGTCTTCCACTCAATCTCAACCTCAACCTCTCGGGAGTTCCCAGATCGTTTTCTGTAAGTAACCTCACCATCGATTACTCCACCCTCTTTCAACAACCCACTCTTCCTCTCAACCAACAGCACCCCTTGCTTCCAATGGGTCAGCCTGCCAAATGGCCCGGTGGTAAACGCCACGCCCCCCTCACCACGCTTCCATGACTCTGCCCTCGCATTCTTCGGAACCAATTGACTCCGCGAAGTGGTAAAGAAGGTATCGAAATAGATGACAAAAGCGTCCAAACTCTCAATGTTCTGCCTGATTCCAAGTTGGAAGGGCTTAGTAAAGGTGAGGTCAGAAATCTTGATTGTGTGCAGTGGCAGATGGCAGAAGGCGACCGGCTCGGAAGCGAGGGATGAGGGGCTGAGTCCGGTTATTGCTACATCCTCTCGGATCTTCTCCTTCATGGCCGTCATGGAGAAGCCGTATACGTGGTTCCAGAAATTGACATTATCATTCATGTACTCGGGATCGTGCATTGCCGCGATCAGGATCTTGCATTCGGACGGGACCACTAATGATCACCGAAATGTTAGAGATCGGATGCTGGGGATCGTGGGGGCAAAGACTGCTAACTCAAGCCATCGGGAGCAAGATACTTGTCCCGAGCGAAGAGGACCGAGTCCAACATCGCCTCGTAAAGGAGAACGTAACCCATCCATTCGGAAACAATGATGTCTACTTGCTTAACGGGTAATGCTACTTCTTCGATCTTCCCGCGTATGCAACTACCAAACATTAGTTTACTCCCGATTACTAAAAAAAAAAAAAAAAAAACTACAGGGATTGATTGATTGGTACGTTATGACCCCGTCCAAACCGTTCTCGAAAACATTTGCGGTGGCTTTATTTATGATTGCCGAGTTATCTACCGCAATGACCTTCTTTGCCCCCGCTTTTGCGCAGAACATTGAAAGAACACCCGTTCCGCAGCCAACGTCCAGAACCACCTGAACTTGCCAATTAGTACCAGTGTCGCCAATTCCAAAAGAAATAAAGAGAAGCTCATACCTTGTCTTTGAACAAATGCTTGTTCTCATAAATGAAATCCCGATAACCATCCGTCCTGACAGTATCCTTAAGCATAATTTCATGAATATCTAATCCCCTCATCAGTCATCATTCGCCCCCCACCATTCCTAAACAAAAAGACCCACCATTCCCGGAGTAACTCTCGAAGTAATGGCTATCATCCTCACTCCCCTCCTTCTTAGCATCCCTATCCTCCCCCTCCAGCCGCATCTCAAGACTCCGATTAACCGCCTCCCTATACTCGGAATGCGCCAGCTCCAACTTTTTCAACCTCTCCTCGAGCTCACGTATCCTCCTCTGATCCTCGGTAATCCCTTCATCCTCCCCTCTCACATTTTCTTCTTCCTCACAATCGAGGCCGAATAGCAACGCATCATCCTCAATAACCGGTCGCAGGTACTTCTCGTCCCGCAGGAAGACTGCAGGGGTGGCAAAGTCCGGAACACGCAACTGTGCGATCTCGGAGCGGATGTAGTTTATCAGTTTGATGCAGCCGTAGAAGTCGAGTCCTAATACCCACCACCACCAGCATCATCATCATCATCATCATCATCAGTATTCATAACCCTGTCATGGAACGGACGGAGGGAGAGCAGACCAAGCTCCTTCCTAACAGCTTTATACTCGAACCCGTGCACCGCGGTACAATGCCCAAACACACCCTCCGATGAGGGGAAAGTCTCTGCGCAGAACAAGCACACAATGGAAACCTCTTCGCTATCCGCTTCCGCGTCTTCCCAGCCTTCTTCGTCCGAGTCGTTGGGGATGCTGTCTTGCTCCGTGTCGGTGGGTGGGTCTGGGGCCCGGGATCCGGACATTGTTATTGTTACAGCGGGGGGAGGGGATGGAACGGGGCGAGGGGAGATCGATTTCAATTGTTTCCGAATGTCTGTGTTTCTTTACAATAGTTGGTGTTTCTCTCTGCGGGGTCCTTCTTTTTTTTTTCCCCTTCGCCCTGTGTTTCCGTCTCTACCATACTCTAAATCGTAGTGGGGCCCGTGGTGGGGTTGATCCACAAGTTTGGTCAAGGCTCGCCGGGTAACAAAAAAATATTCAGCCTCAACCACGAAGGCCTGAAGCTCCAGGACGAGTGACGTGGTGTGAGCATGATATCGAGTGATAGTACATGAAAAGGCCATAGGTTATGATACGAGGTGGCAGTTCCCGCTGCCATTTCTGCAGGCATACCGCTACCGGTATTACAGGAGGGGCAGAGTGGGGATCAATTACAAGCTGATATATCTTCGGAAGCTTAATCAAGCACCATCTCCGCGACACCGGAGCGATGGGCGGAACCCAGCTCTCGCGTAGGTACTTGTAGCGCTCGATGCGAATGTCATGCGCATACCGGTAGCCCATCTCTCCATGGGCGAGGGTCCGTAGTACAAAGCAGCGTACGAGTACAAGTATTTCTCGTAGATTAGATGACTAACCACCCGGATCCAACCAAATGGCAATCGATCGAACGAAGTGAGGGGGGAGGGGGGGCTCATCGTACGGCTTTGCCGCGCGGTCTGTTGATGGGCTACGCGGCCTCGAGGCCCATGCACTCGAATACTATCCTAAATGCAGTACTGTACGGGACACCGTTGCGAGTGCATACTGGAATGCTTGGTTCTGCCTGATCGCGCGACCAGAGAATACCCTTCCCTTGGCGTAATCCACCTGGTGGAGGGGGTGAGGTAGCGGTAGCCTGGGCCCAGGGGCTCGTCGGCTAGGAGAAAGCGCTCTGTATTCATGCGGTGAAGGATCTACTAATAGTGCCGGCAGGTGTGAGAGCTCAGCTCAATTTTGCCTTCCCAGGAGTGGACAGAGTGGTGGGGGAATGGAGTAAGCTAGGGCACAATTTTAAATCCCTGATCTTCGGCACCGATTGGGTTGTCAGTTGGGATGCAAGTACCGGTAAGGTACCGTACCGTGCTGTTTGTAGCTGTCGAAGCAGACCTCGATGGCGTCAATAGATTTACCACCCGTATTCTTGGTTTCACGGAGGTTTAGGCCTGGCACGGATTTATCGAACAGGATGAAGGATGGTGAGAGGCCTTCACCGGATTCCCTGATCCCGGAGAGAGGGGAGTCGTGCGTGCCAGGGGAACCGTTCTGTTGGCTGCCCGAGCTCAGGAGACCCAGCCAGAATTGTACTGGTACATGTACAAGCATCGTTTATTCAAGAGCTGGGTGGACTTGTCTCGCACGGCAAGTGCTATTTTGCATGATTTCTTGGACTTCTAGGGTGGAAAGCGCACAGTGGCCTCCTCGACGAACGGCTATGGTGGGAAATCTGGGGGTATGATATCAAGGCCGCTGTTTGGCCCGACGCTGGAGAGCATGACCGGAGACTCTGATTCGCGATGATGATGTCTCGAGCTGAGGGAATGCTTACACCCCAGGGCGGGCCCTTCATTCGTCCGCTGTCGGCTTTGGAAGCATTTTTACCGGTACAGTACAGTACTCCTCTGCCCTTCAGTTGCGAATTCGCTTGCGGGCTTTTATTTAATCTTAGCGAGCTTACGACTTATGCGTGGTGGAATCCGGAGTGCACCGTAATTTACCAGAGTTGCATATATATTTGGATGCACCGGCTGTGCCCCAGCCATGCTCACTCTGCTCCTGTAGTCTCCGATGATCTTATAATAGTACTGGGGGAAATATGTTTGGGAATACCGGTAGCATAGGAATGGAAATAGCCTGCATCATCATGGCAGCTTCCGAGATGCCCAACCCCGCACCCCCAAGTCCCGGGGGCAGGGCAGCGCCAATCGATCCGCCCCTCGCTAGAAGGGCATGAAAATGGTGCGGATATGTCCCCGTTTCATCCCTTTCGGCCGAATATTCCTGTCAAGGCGGATGCCGATAGGGTAAATCGGTCACCCATCCAGCCATCGACAGTTTTGTGTGGACGGCTATTTATTGCGGGAAGGGGCTTTCCTTTCCTTCCCTCTCTCTCTTGTCACATCTGGGAAGCTTGAACACGTCTTGACATGGCCAATTGCGAATGGGTAAAGCTCGTCGTGTCCGTGGGCGTGTGGTGCCTCACACGACCGCCAGTGGTGACTCCAAGCAGCAGCAGCGGAGACGGTGGTTTGACGGATAGGCGGTGGAGCACGGAGGGTGTCGTGGTGGGGGGGGGGGAATGGATTAAATTATTGCCGTATCACGGGTGGGGAACACTGTACGATGCTGGATGTGGGGAAGAGGAGGGGGTTGGAGCTGTGTGCCTTGTGGTCTGCTCGAGTGCCGGGCGCTCGAGTACTGTATATTGGATTGTATCATACCGGCTGTCGGCAGTATGATAACACCGGGTGGGGAAATGGTGGGCTCCGGGGCGGGGAGTGCTGCTGGATGCGCGACATGCCGGCAGATTGCTTCGGGCGCTTCTATTGGGTTTTAAGCCAGGTTTAAGGGTACTACTGTACGGTGTCATAAATGCCCATGGACGGCTGAGACGAGCGAGCAACGAAGAGGGGAAGAGCGAATGAGATTTCCCAGATACCGGTACCATACATGAGCAGAGTACTCGAGTATTCGTTGAGCACGAGCTTGGCTTTCACTTGTTCGGAGCTGGATCATCGGAGTGCCGGTACGATGCTCGTAAGGTGGCATTGAAATGGGGCAAGATGGCCAGCGATGCGCATCAAGTTCCCCAGCGATCTAAAGGTTACCCGAGTTCTGGACGGTTGACTCCCGGTATTGCTGGTCCGCATCGTAAATCTACCGTAAGTTATGATACAGTACGGTACGCGTACAGTAGCAGCACGAGTATGATACGTGTGGTGCCGATGCATTACCGTACGGAACCTTATGCGACAGTCTGTGGTTGCATCAAACTCCACGTGACGGTGTGGCTTACAAGGCCGAACAGGGGGGGAGACCTTCTGAGCTTTCCGTCGCTCAGGTTGTGGCTGGAGAGTGCAGCTCCCACACCTGCATCTCGCTTGGAGCGTGGGGTAAGTTTTCTCATTTGGGGAATTCGGAGCGGCAATGGGCACACGGCTGGAATGCAAGACCTGATCGCATCACATACGTGAGGTTGGCACTTTTGTCACGCACAGTGCTACAGTATGATACCGTCAAGTTACGGTGGATGCGGTGATCGGACAGTGGTTCCGCTCGAGTATCATATCGTACTCGTACAGTACAGTACGAGTACAGGCAGTGGGGCAGTGGAGGCGGAGGGGAGAGTAATGTGTAATACCGTACCATGATATCCCACCACCATTTTCTCCAGTGCCGCACTTGGGTGGGCAGGGTGTGTGTGATACCGTTGGACCCCATGCCTGTCCTCCAGCATCCCTGAGGAGCGGAAGGGAGATTCAATCGAATGGCCGGTACCGGTGCTCGTAGTCCTCCCCTTCCTGCCCGGTATTGTTAGAGTGGACGTGCCGGGGTTACCCTGTTGCCCTACCGTGCTTGTACTCGTACTGGTACGAGCATTATTACGCTGCGAATATGATACTTGTGATCCACTGCACAGCACTCCCTCTACTATTCCTGGGATCCCGAACCTTCAGGATATCTCAGGGCTCGGAACTTGAACCTTTTCAGGACTACGCAGGGAAAAAAAAAAAGCAAAAAGGGAAAAGGAAAAAGCAGACGAAGACACCAAAGAGAAAAAAGAATAGGCAAAAGAGAAAGGGAAAAAAAAAAAAAAACAAGAGAAGGAAAAGAAAAAAAAAGAAAGGGACAATTCGATACGGTATCCGGGATTCCTTTTGTTTCGCGTTGGCTATTGTGAGCATCGAGCTGAGCCGCTTTGTTTCCTCCCTCGCCTTCCTTGATTCTTGCTTTGACTTGCTGCGCGTTCTCTCCCTCCCTCCTCCCTCCCTCTCCTGCTCGCCACTTCAGGCACCCCGCCTAGCCCTAACCCAACGTGCTTGGTATTGTGTGCCGTACATACCACCATAATAAGCTAGTGGTCAGCTCCTGTTTGGAGGACTTCCGGAACTTGTCTCCCTCCTTCCCTTGCAACACCTGAACCCATCAACTCAATCCGCCCATAACCCATCATGGAAACGAACGGCGATTCGAGGGCGAAGCGGAAGTACCCCGGATCTCCGCCTGCTGACCGGCCCACGAAGCATCTTCGCGATGATTCCTTTTCCGCTGACCGGGACGACATCCACTTGCCCGGGGATGAGGAGCAGGGCTTTGTTGCCCTGGAGACTAGACTTCTACCGCCTGCCGTGGCCACCCACGATTCCGCGGAATGGCAGAAGACCATTGAGGAGGTTGTCAGAAACGTGGTCAGCATACGCTTCTGTCAAACCTGCTCGTTTGACACCGAATCCGCCATCACTAGCGAGGCTACGGGCTTTATCGTCGACGCTGACAGGGGTTACATCTTGACGAATCGTCATGTTGTGTGCGCCGGCCCTTTTTGGGGATACTGTGTCTTTGACAATCACGAAGAGGTATGTTGGGGACCGGCCATCTTGACGGACCGCCGTATGGCTAAACTGTCCAGTGCGATGTCTATCCTGTCTACAGGGATCCCATCCACGATTTCGGTATTCTTAGGTTTGATCCGAAGGCTATCAAGTACATGCCCGTTGGTGCTCTTCAGCTTCGGCCCGATCTTGCACGTAAGCATCCGGCATCCTTGCTCCCTCACCTTTGCCAGCCGCTGACGGAAGCTTAGGGGTCGGCGCTGAAATTCGAGTTGTCGGCAATGATGCCGGGGAGAAGCTTAGCATCTTATCGGGAGTGATCAGTCGGGTGGATAGGAATGCCCCCGATTACGGCGATGGCTACAATGACTTTAGTGAGTGGGGCCGAGCTCGGGAGAGGTGCATTTTGTTGACCGGTCCCGTCAGACACGAATTATATCCAGGCTGCCGCTTCGGCGAGCGGTGGGAGCTCCGGGAGTCCGGTTGTTAACATCGATGGGTATGCCGTAGCTCTACAAGCCGGGGGCAGTGTGGAAGGCATGACCCACCCGTCACGTATTGCTGTGCTCGCGCTGACACGGATTAGCCGCGACCGACTACTTCTTGCCTCTTGATAGGCCCCTCCGTGCCCTTGAATGCATCCGGAATGGCCGACTGGTTACTCGCGGAACCATACAAACACAGTGGCTGACAAAACCATTTGATGAGTGTCGCAGAGTTGGGCTGAGCCCTGAATGGGAGGCTGCTGTGAGGAAGGGGTTCCCGAAAGAGATTGGAATGCTTGTAGCTGAAGTCGTACTTCCCGAGGGTCCTGCCCATGGCCATATTGAGGTATGCGGCCCTTGGTCACGGGGGAGTCTTTTTTGATGCGGTTATCTTGACACGTTTTTACAGGAGGGCGACATCTTGATCAAAGTTAACGGAGCATTGGTCACCAAGTTTGTTGACCTGGATGAGATATTGGACAACTCTGTCGGAAAGAAGGTCAAGATGCTTGTGGAGCGAGGGGGGGAGGCGATGGATATCGAACTCGATGTCGGGGATCTTCATGCTATCACCCCCGACCGCTTTCTCACTGTCTGCGGGGCCTCCTTCCATGATCTATCCTACCAGTCCGCTAGACTTTATGCCATTCCGGTTCGAGGAGTCTACGTCTGTGAGCCGGCGGGTTCGTTCCGGTTTGACGGGATGGACAAGGGGTGGATCATTGAGGTACGTCCTACCGCTTTGCGCTGCCGTGGATATGAGCTGATTTTCTCTAGTCCCTTGACAATAAGAAAACCCCAAATCTTAACGAGTTTATAGAAGTGGTGAAGAATATACCGGATCGGTCCAGAGTTGTCGCAACTTATCGCCACCTGCGCGACCTTCACACTATGCACACCTCGATCCTTTATATAGATCGTCACTGGACCACCAAAATGAGGATGGCTATCCGTAACGGTTTGTTGATGTTCTGGCGACTTGGTACTATGACGCGAACTGACCGAATCGTATTTAGACGTTGCCGGGCTGTGGGACTTTTCGGATATCGCGGATCCTAAGCCGCCCGTTCCTCTTGCTCCGAGCTCGGCCCAATTCATAAGGTTGGACAACGTGGGCTACCCAGCAGCTAGCGACTTGGTGCGTAGTTTCGTTCGGATCTCGTGTGTTATGCCGATAAAGCTGGACGGATTTCCTCGAGCGAGAAAGGTAAAATCCTCTTGCTCCTTTCCTGTCCTACGCTAATGAATTAGACTGGGTTTGGCTTGGTCGTGGACGCCGGGAAAGGGTTGGTGGTTGTATCCAGAGCTGTGGTGCCCTATGATTTATGCGATATCTCAATCACCGTTGCCGAGTCCATTGTCGTGGAGGGCAAAGTTCTGTTTTTGCATCCTCTGCAGAATTATGCTGTTGTGCAGTATGACCCAACGCTGGTGAAGGCACCCGTTCTCTCCGCTAGGCTCAGCAGTGAGCATATTACTCAAGGTATCGTGCGGTTCCTTTTGGGGGAATGCATTGGGGTAACCACTAACCGTTCAACAGGCGCATCGGCCATGTTCTTGGGCTTTAACCAAAACCTTAGAGTAGTTGTTGCTAAGACTTCTGTTACTGATATTACTACCGTTGCTGTCCCTGCCAACAGTTCTGCGCCCCGTTACAGAGCGATCAACGTTGATGCCATCACGGTCGACACAAGCCTTAGCGGCCAATGTGGGAGCGGCGTCCTTGCTGACGCAGATGGAACTGTTCAGGCATTATGGCTTACTTACCTGGGGGAGCGGACCCACAGTAACAAAGATGTCGAATACCATCTTGGGTTGGCTACGCCTTCCCTGCTACCGGTCATTCGTCAGCTGCAGGATGGCATAATTCCCAAGCTAAGAATGCTTAATGTTGAGCTGCACCTGGTGCATATGAGTCAAGTCCGGATTATGGGCGTCTCGGAAGAGTGGATCCGTAGGGTTGAGCAGGATAATCCCGAGCGCCATCAGTTGTTTATGGTCCGAAAGGTCGAGTGCGGCCACTCTCAAACTCTGGAGGAAGGAGATGTCATCTTGAGTATTAACGGGAAAGTGATGACGAGAATAACAGAGCTAGACGTTATGTATGATCATGAGTATTTGGACATGGTTGTGGTAAGGAACTGTGAGGAGATGACATTGAGAGTGCCCACTGTCCCGACCGACGACTTGGAGACGGATCGAGCAGTCATATTCTGCGGTGCTGTCTTGCATCGCCCCCATCATGCTGTGCGCCAGCAGATAAGCACCCTGCACTCCGAGATCTATGTTTCGGCGCGGACTCGGGGCTCCCCGGCATATCAATACCAGCTTGTGCCGACAAATTTTATTGTCGGTGTCAACGGAGTCAAAACTTCTGATCTTGATTCTTTCTTGCATGAGGTCTCCAAGATACCGGACAATACTTGTAATGCCAAATTCCCCGACCCCTGAAGTTTATTTGTCTGATTAAGGATGCTTCAGATCTGAGGCTGAGAATTATCACCTTTGATAATATTCCGTTCGTGATTACCATCAAGAAGAACGAACATTATGTATGTCTCTAATATCTCTGTTCGCCTGGAAGGACACAGCTGCTCACGTTCTGCTTGCCGTAGTTCCCGACCATGGAATTCATCAAGGAGCCTTCTGAGCCCTGCGGATGGCGTAGGCAGACATACGAGGGCAAATTTACGCATGCTGGTATAAGAACCCGTGTAGCTCTCTCGGGGGATCAACTAACGAGCCAATAGGGTTAGAATCCAATATCCCTGCGGAGAGTATGCTAGCAATCCACCATCCTGGGAATTCCCGGCAAATGCTAACTTGGACAAATTATTCAGATATGGATGAAATTGGTGGTGATTAGTTGGCGGAACGGGTTGACTGTTTTTTTTTTATATTATTATAAATCTGTTCCAGTCATTTCAGGGGGGTGTACGATTTTTTCCAGTGACCAAGCATTTAAGGGATTAGAATGGCGCTTGATGTTTTCCTCTCACTGCCCTCTTTTATTTTTTATTTTCTCTTCTTTTTCTCTTCTCTTCTTTCTTTTTTTCCTCTAGTGATCGCTTTCGATTCATGGAACCCACAATTCACCTGTTTTCTGTATGGCCTTGATGGGCTGAATTGTTTATTTCCCCGCTCCGGGTGCTTGGGGGCGCTTTCCTTAATCATGGGTCAGGTGCTTTAGAGGAGGGATGGGATGGGATCTCGCATGTTTTCTTATTTTCTCGGACTGAATCATGAGTGGTATCCATGGTGTCGATGAGCTACCGGTATTGTGGTGGGTATCCAGCGTGGCTTTCTTTTCCTATTCTGGTGTCATTCAATGGCATTTATATCGTGATTGCATGCTCTGGAGTCTTTGCGATACAATTAATGAGAATTAGGCTCTCCAGTCTATCATACGTGGATCGCTTGACGTGATAGAAGTGCCAATGATTCGAGCCTTACTTACATCGGTAAGACTAACTTAGTGGCGGGGTAATTTGGGCCCACTATAGGATCCCTTAACCTGTGTTCAGATTTTCCAGCTTTTTTTTTTAGCGCGGTTAATGGCCCGGCTTAACCTGACATCCTTACCAAAGGCAGTATGGCCGGGGTGCTGTTGCTGCCACTCGACCGCCGGAATATCATACTTGTGCGAGTACTCGCACACGATTGCCGCACCTGATCTATTCCTAATCTCGGAATATTCTAGGGAACTAAAAAGCCGCAAATACCGGTATGGTCCGGTCAGGAACGATAGGAAGTTTCAGCGGGGGAGCGCCACCTTTGATGATCCCAATGCTTTTCTTTTTTTTCTGGTTGAGTCAAACTCTGTTCCAACGACTCCTTCAGCGGACACCACTCCTTCAGTCTCTACAGTACCGAACAAACGTTGTTCCGAAAATTTGATCATGGCACCCGCCAGTGCTTTCAACCTCCAGACTTGCGCGCGCAAGAACATTCTCCAATTGATCCCCTACCGATGTGCTCGAGAGTGATCCACTCCTCCAAGCTTTCGTGGGGAAATATATGGCTAACCATCAAACTCGTAGTGACTACAAAGACGACGGCACCAACATCCTCCTTGACGCGAATGAGAACGCCTACGGCCCCAGCCTGCCTTTGAACGGTGATGGTGGGTCGAAGGCGGGAACGGGTTACGATTACACTCATCTTAATAGATACCCCGATCCGTAACACTTCCTTCACATTTCCGATTGACCAATCAATTCAACCAATGAATAATGACAATATCCGCAGCCACCAGGAAGACCTCAAAAGACTCTTCTGCGAATACCGCAACAAAAACCCCGCCAAGCCACTGACCCCGGCGAACATGTTCCTAGGCGTCGGCTCGGACGAGGCTATCGACGCGGTCCTCCGGTGCTTCTGCATTCCTGGCAAGGACAGGATCCTAACATGTCCGCCAACTTACGGAATGTATAGCGTCAGTGCGCAGGTTAATGATGTGGAAGTCGTGAAGGAGCCGTTGGACCTAATCAGCGGCAGATTCGAGCTTCGTCCGGAAGCGATCAACAAACGCCTTTCGGGCGACCCCACCATTAAAGTCGTCTACATATGCTCTCCCGGAAACCCTACTGCAGGGACTGTCGACCCAGCAGCGGTACGTGAGGTCCTCGCGCACCCGACCTGGAATGGCGTTGTCGTCGTCGACGAAGCATACATCGACTTCGCACCCGAAGGGAGCAGTCTCGCTCCATGGGTTGTCGACTACCCAAACCTCATCGTTATGCAAACCTTGTCCAAAGCCTTTGGCCTCGCTGGAATTAGGCTTGGTGCAGCGTTCACGGCTCCGGAGATAGCGCAATTGCTAAACAACCTCAAGGCCCCGTACTCCATCTCTTCCCCGACCACTTCCATCGCCATGGCCGCGCTTTCCCCCGCCGGATTGGCCGTCAAGAATGAGAATGTGCGCAGATTGCTGGCGCAGCGCGATAGGCTCATTTCCGAACTTCCAAAGTTTCCCGGGATCGGGAGGTTCCTGGGCGGGTTTGACAGTAACTTTTTGCTCGTTGAGATTCTGGACAGGAACGCGGTTCCGGATAGTGATGTTGCGAAGGGGGTGTATGGGCGGCTTGCGGAGGAGCATGGAGTTATTGTTAGGTACCGTGGCGGGGAGCCCGGGTGTACCGGCTGCCTAAGGATCACTGTTGGTACCGAGGCCGAGGTTGGAAAGTTGTTGGAGAATTTAAGGGAGGAGCTTAAGGTGACTAGGAGGGAATAGATGTGTGCTGGCGTTATGCCTGGGGAGTCCCTTAGAGATTGGTCGTGCCTTGATAGAGAATGAAAGCGATTAGATATAGGGGTTGGGTGTTTCTGAATCAATTTATTTATTTATTCATTGAAATGATTGCCCCAGGGGGGTCTTTGTTTACGCCAGGACACCCCTCTATCCTTTATATCTCCTGTTGGAAGTGGACTCGGTGCCGGAAACGGAGGTGTAGAAAATCGTTAATTATTAAATGGTATCATAGCGAACCGCCCAAGGAGATCACACCCAATCACTCTCAATACTTGAGGGTTCGGAAGGCGAGCTTACCATAGCGCACCATACGATACAGCACGATGCGGCACCGCAGACCCACCAGACGCCATCAGCCGACCCTTTGGGGGGAAAAACACACGCCAGACCCTAACGAAATATGCAGCAGTGGAAAGTCCACACGCGAATTATAGGGGGAGAAGAAGAGGAAGAAGAAAGTCAAGCTCCGATTTTTATTTTATTTTTATAGATATCATATGAGATGTTTTTAGTTTAGTTAACCCCCTCCGCCTCGCGGATCATAACAATATCCCTGGTCCGACCCTTTTCCTCTTCCCCCCGCCCGTAATTTAGCAATCCCCTCCCTCAAGCCTAGCGAAGCCTCATGTCTATCATTTGCGTGGTACTCATAGCACTCGCACAAGTAGTAATCTATAACGCTGGTTAATCCCTGCGGATTGGTTATCCATCCCCTTGAGATGGGGGAGTGGGGGGGAGTTGTTGACGGCCGGTGCTTTCCGCGACAACGGTAAGGTTTGCTTGTTTGTTTGTTTATTGCTGTGGGAAAGTGGGGGGGGGGGCTATTACCGGGGTTGGATTTCGCGGTGTGGTGTGGTGTGGGTTTCTGGTGGTTGTACAGTGCTGTATATAGTTATTATACTGTACCATGGCTGTGGGTTATGTACAGTGCAGTACTGTAGTGTGTGCGAGGGGTGCTGTAGTGTCGGTTGCGTACGGTGCTGTGGTATATACGGTGGTTCAGGTACTGATACTGGGATAAGCCAATTTATATACAGCTGGGGGTTTATCCTGTGAGATTTCGGGCATCATAAGATGTGGGTGTTGAGATTTGGTCGGTTCGGGGTTTGGCTGTGGGGTGTGGTGGGTTGGTGCCATCGCGAGGGAGTGCGGTGATATGTGGTGAGCTATGATAATATTATGATATCGCAATATTCTGTGGTAGAATAGTCTAATGCTCCCCCGTCGAGAGTCGGAGCATGGGCAACGGAACGAAAATTAAGTGGTAGCGGAAATATATATATATTGGAAAGCACTTAAAAAGATTCCGAACGGGTATTCGGATTGTGATTTCCCATTCCTGTTAGGAACTCGACTGGTTTGAAAAAATGAAAATGAAAAAAAAAAAAAATGAAGAGTTCTAACCTTCTGGAGAGATCATGGCGTATCAAGCCGGCCTGTGGGCGGGTTACGTGCTCCCAAGGGGTTCCCATCCTCCACCTCGATTAATCATGTCCGGGTGATGCGTGTAGTATCCATTTTATGGATATGTTTCTCGACCGAGTTTGCCATGCGTATATTCTATGAATTTTCAATAACACCCTTGGCGATACATACACGCCAGCGGTCAGTTAGGACTTGGGAACTAACAGATACCGATCTCAATATTTTTCAGTCAAGGGGCCACTTTGGCATGGTGGGTGACTTCTCTCCCTCGAGTGCCATAATAATAATACCCCCCCCCCCCCCCGGGACCTTTTCGATCTGCCATGATATCGCGCTGTACAGTATTAGAAAATCACTATTAATAAAGAGCGGATCCAAACTGTTGCCATTCGCTCCAATCTATTCTATCTACTAGCATCACATACCACCATTATCGAGAATCGCATATAGCTAAACCCCCTAACCACACGAGGGACCACCGTACTTGTTATAATACCATGAGAAAAAGCTCCACCCCTCACCTCCCATCCACAGTTTTTTTTTAATAAAAAGGGACGATCCAATACTTTGGATGATGGACGACGACGACAACAACCATGTTTGTTTGGGCTATTATTATAGGTGGGGGTTTCCGGGGTGATCCTGGCTGGCTCCGAGCCGGAAACCCACCGGAGTCGTGATCATCCGAGGTACGATACTGTGTGATATGATGGTTCAACCCTACCCGGATTGACCGGGGTTTTCCCGGTAGGTGGTGATCCGAGTGTTAGGTTTGGATGGGGAGGATTCTGTGGTGGTGGGTGTGATGGTGGGAGGAGGAACAATCTGTTTTTCCGATAGAAAGGGAGCGGTTTGGAAAGAGTGCTGGCATTATACATCCCCGGAGATAAGGCTCTCAAAAGTGGTAGTGGATGGTAGGCGGGTGTCGCGGAGGTCGCCCGCACTGCCGTGTGCGGTGTTGAGAAGTGGTATCGGAAGAGAACTGCATCATACCTCTTACTGTAGTTTACGATACAAAAGAAGCACCTTTTTTATGTTAAAAGCTGGACTTCAAATCCCTGTTACGTATCTCTACACCTGTATGATACCAGTTTTATGATTCCTTGCACTTGTGATACGATTTGTTCGCAATTTGTGTGCCCCATTCATAGACTCTCACTCGATACTGTGGACCTTCTAAAAGTCTACCGGAACGTGTCTTGGCTTGAGAATTGTCGCTTGGTTGGTGACTATGGGATTTTTCTGGTGCTTCTGGTATATAGGATGCTACTAAACTGCTTCGCTGGCGATACAAATGTCAGGAATATTACTGTGTCGGGTAGTACAGTACTAGCGGGGAATTAAATCTTAGGGGGTAAACTCCTCTCGTATACTCAATCTCGCCCTACTTGTATCTGAAGAAGGTAGAAGGGGGGGGAGGGAAAGTCTTTGCGCACCGCGGAAGCAGTAGTCATCTTTACTTTGTGTGTTGCCCGGGAGGGGTGTTGGCGCTGTCAGTCAGCAGTTTTGATCCCACATTTGAGTGGGTTTGTTATGAAATGGATACATCGGGGCGCCATCCCTTTTTATACATCGTTAGAGAAGGATTCATTCCGAGATTTGGCGGCTAGCCTATCGCGTGACGGGCGGCATACTGGGAACGGATTGAGCTGGTATTATACTGTAGCATACGCGGACTGGGTGGTGTTCTTTACTGAAAAACATGTTGGGATGGGGAGGAAGAA